TGCGGTCTGAAGGTGGTCTGTCAGACGGTCTGTCAGACGGTCGGTTTGTTAGCCACACTGTGTAAATCCGATGTGGACTCGAGGCCATCTGCAGCAGATGGATCAATTCTATCGCCAACAGGCAATTGGCGTCCCGGGCGTGAATTGGCCCTCTCTAGCTGTAGGTATGACCAACTATCAACCAGCCCTTTACGCCGCAGAGATGTCGGGGATTCATGTGTGCAATGTTGATCGAAATGGCTACGTTCAGTGGATTTGGCAAGGGAGGCAGTGAGGTCACAGAATAGCTCAATGAATACATTGCTTTAGTACTTACTATATCTCTAACTACACAGCCTACTTGACCCTACATGTGAACTCGGCCACAACCCCATTAAATCGAGCCATTGGGTCACGGTATATATACTCGGAGTTTTGCCTTTCTTTTCTGATTCGAATGATATATACCACTTACCTTTCCCGTTAATACTGCAAATGTTCTTAAGGGGGTTCCCGCCACTAGAGCCCCCCCCCTTGTAATCTAACATCTCTCTCAGTAGCCTCCCAGACATGCTTGACTCCTCTGTGCCGTGAGAAAGGCTGCTCATCTATTTCTTTCTGTATCCTCTCCTCAACCCGCTTGGTCTCAGCTTTATCCCAATCAATATAACTCATCATCTCCTCCTGCCTCCAGTCCCTTGATTCCTCCTGGCAACGGGGCCCCATTTGCTTATAATCAAGGCACCATTCATATTCACGTTTTGCATATTTCTGAGGCAGCTTCATAGCCTTCCGGTACAGTTGATCGGTCTTCTGAGCTCTCCTGGTCAATGTAGCATACCAGGCCTCTCGTGCCTCTTTGTATCGTTGGAAGATAACAAGGGCATGATCACCTCGCAATGGGGACTTCTCTCTTGCACCGCCTGCAGCAACAGTTGCTGATCTAGTTACCGGAGGAGATAGTACCTGAGTTGTTGTGTGTGTTGTTGTATGTGTTGTTGTGCAGGCTATAGTCTCAGATACCACAGAGGACCCTGATGGGGATAGCGAGCGGGTCACAGAGCGAGTGGTTGAATGTGTTGTGATATGTGTTGTTGTAGAGGTTTGAGTAGGAGCCGGCAATAGATCGTCGTAACGCAAAAGGCATGCTTTAGAGTTCATCTTATGGCCTCGTATACCACACTTCGAACACTTTGGCGGTGCCTTTCGCTGTAGTGCTTTCTCAACACGTTCAGATGCACACGGCTCACGCTGTGTGCTTGTTGGTGGAAGCTTTGAACTAGCTGCTAGGCGATCAAATTGCTTGTGAGGCTCAATGATAAGCCGGGGGGTTCCTGGGCGATGGAGAAGCCAATGTGTGTGGAAATGATGTAGCAGAAGGGGTTGATCTTGCTGTAGCAAGGGCTGAATCATATGAGCACAGGGCAGACCAAGAGTCCTCATAGTGACTCCTGTACATGCAGGATATTCTCTCAATAGTCGTTGCCGTTGAGCATCAACCAGCCGCAGGGCTTCATGTGATAGCCAACCACGGATATTACTATACAGTGGCCCAGATATATCAATAGGTATGCTGGCCTGCTGCTGAGCTTGGTTTCCCTCGAGCTGGTTGAGCTGGTTTGATAGGATGAGCTTGATGATATTCCAGGCCCCAAAAAGGTCAATTGCTGAGGTCTTCATGTGAGATTTGATGAGCTGATGAATGCCCTCGGCCCGTGACGTGACGAATTGATCGAAGTGAAGGTGTTGATGAACCCAGGCCTTAACAAACTTCCCCTTATGGAGGTCCAGCCAAGTCTCTATGATGTAGCCCACCTCGTTGAGGTGGTCAGGGGTGTAGCGTTGCTTGAACTTCTCAAGCCTCTCGTTGTAGATATCCTCAGTCGTTGAGGCCACAATCTGATGCCAAGACTTGAAGAACGCATCCCACTCTTCTTGCCCTTGAGTATCGTCTTTATCTCGAGTGAATCCAGGCCTGCAATGGCTCAGGACCGCTCTATTGATATGCCATAGGCATAGCAATAAGGCTGACTCAGGGAAACAAGAAGGAGAAGAAACAGCATTCATACAAGCTAGGCAGCGATCTGTGAGTATCACAGATGGAAGGGCTACTCCATAATGCTCATATATATACCGCAACCGTTCAAGGACCCAGATGAAGTCCCCTTCTTCCTCGCCACTAAGAAAGGCGAATACAATACAGAAGGATCGTTGACAAGCATCAATACCAACTATATCGAGAAGAGGCATGCTGTACTTGTTGATCTTGTATGTACAGTCCAAGATAAGTACTTCAGGGTATAGCTTGAGGTATCTCAATGAGCTTGGGTGTGCAAATAACACTGATGTGACTCTGCCACTCTCGTCAAGGCGTATCTGACTCTAGAAGCCCTCATTCTTAAGTTCATTGGCAAAGGCATGCATGTTGCTTTGACCCTTAGCAAGCTCTCGCTTGCCTTGTGCAATGCAGTTGTAGATATCCTGCTGTGTAGCAAGTGTATCTGTGTTCATGCGTAGATAGGATTGGATCTTCTTTGGCTCAATGCCGGCATTGCTGAGTTGATGGACCGTCAACCTATCTGGGGATGATAGCTGACGATGTACTGGATGTGCTAGTTCACTGAAGCTTGGTTCGTGATTGTGTTGATCAAAGCCGGCCCCGGGGCGATGCGTGAGATTCCACATAGTCCCACATAGGCTCTCCTTTGCTGTGATAGAGAAGGTGCATCCTGTACGGCGTGTTGTGGTCTTCCGTTTCCGTTTCTTCGTCGGATTGACCTTAGGGGGTCTCCCTGCTCCGCGGTCACAGTTGTAGATAACCCCAGTTCTTCCATTGGGGGTCTTCCAAGAGGTCTTGACTGAAAAGGCATAGCCTCGAGGCGCTGCCCAAGCATTGATTGCGGCGAATAGTTCCTCCCGTGAGCTATACTGGCCTTCAGGAGGCATAGCATCATCAGGGAAGGCAGTGGGAACGCCAATTGGGTTCATCATAGCTGAAAGAAGGCGCGGCAAGTTAAATTGATGTCACAGAAGCTGTTGATCGTTGAATTGGGGCCCCAAATTGCACCAATTTGCAGTATGTTACCCCTTTTTGGGCTTACATAACGAATCTTATTTGCACAGCCGGCTGTGCGCAAAAGTCACGTGATATTAAACGCACAGCCGGCTGTGCGTGTATGAGACCCCCTAGAAGAATGCCATAAACACGACGACGTGGATCGCTTGAAACTTGCCCCACCAGAGCTGAACCCTGCAGCCCTGCAGCCACTACCCCTGTCACCTTTGGAATCACTCCAGACCTTGAATCTAGCCGCAGGAAATATTTCCGAGACGAGGTGCAGTCTGGGGCCCAGTAGGGCTGAGATCGCCCGGGAAATCGGCAAAGCACAATATTCGACGTCACATCAAGGGGCTAAACTTGCTCAGCCTTTGGCCGCAGCCGAGATGCCTTGCTGCGGAGGTGATGGCTTCAGCGTAATTAGTTGAAGCGTCGTAATTATTTGGACCTGAAGGAGTGTTGTTGGATTGTATAAAGACGAGTGAAGAGTACTTGGTAAAGAACCATCAGCAGCTTCATCATTACAACAACCACCATAACTCTCGTTTCAACACATTCTTTCAGCATCTCTACCACACTAACCATCAAAATGCGTGTCATCAACCTCGCTTCTCTCACTCTCGCCGCCATCTCAGGCATCGAAGCCCGCGCCGCCATCGACATTCGTGTCCAAGGCGGTTCAGCCAAGAACGCAGCTGGCGCCGTCTTTGCCATGACCAACGAGCCTACCGGAAATAGAGTCATCGCTTTCTCTCGCAATGGCGATGGTTCTTTGACTCAGGCCAAGGCGTACCTTACTGGTGGGCGAGGCCAGGGCGTTGACTTTGATACCCAGGGTGGTCTTCAGCTGGACGCCAAGAACAAATATCTTTATGCTGTCAATCCTGCTGACGATCTGATCACTGTTTTTGCTGTTGCTGGCTCATCTCTCACCAAGGTCCAGACCATCTACGGAGGGGATCAGCCACTTAGCATCACCCTGAGCAAAAACGGATATGCCTACTCTCTCACTGGCTCCGTTGCCTCGACTGGCATCTTCGGCTTCAAGGTGGACGACAAGACCGGAAAGCTCTCCCCTCTCACCAACGAGACTATTCCACTCAGTACCCCTATCGGTGTCCCTGGTGTCGTCGCTTTTGCCCCTGATGGTCGATCCCTGATTGTAACCAACAAGGTTGGCAGCACCATCGACGTCTTTTCGATCGATAAAGAGGGCCAAGCCAGCTCTGCCCCTGTCACTACCATGGCCTCAAGTGGCCTTCGACCCTTTGGCGCTGTTTTCAACAACGAGAGTACCTTGTACGTCGTCGAGTCCGGTCTCCCCGCCTTCAAGAACAGCGCTCTATCTACCTACCACCTTAACGGCGGAGAGGTCCCCAGCTTGACCGCCGTCACCAAGGCCGAGCGAAGCGACCAGACCGATGCCTGTTGGGTCGTCGTCACCCCCGACAACCGCTACGCCTACACCGCCAACTTTGTCTCCAACTCCATCTCTAGCTATGCCATCTTTAACAACGGAACCACTTCCCTTATTGAAGGCGAGGCCGCTCTCCCCGGTGATGGCTCCGAGCCTGTCGACCTTGCCCTCAGCAGCGACGGCATGTACCTTTACAACCTCCTCCGAGGCTCTGGTGCCGTTGTTGCTTACAAGATCAAGGAGGATGGTTCACTGCAGCAGGTTGGCGAGATGTTTGGAAAGGGAATGGGCCTGATGCCTGGACTTGGTAATTCTGGCCTCGCTGCTTTTTAAGAGGCCGGCGAAAACATTCTTGAAGCATAGACTGGGCAGTAGGCTGATGCCCAATAACTTAACTAGTATCTCTCTTTGCTTGTATTATAATTATCACACTTAGATCTTGCACTTGGTTGTGTTATGGCATATCCTGTTGGTACACACATTAGAGACTTCACATTTCATAACTATGCTAACTGGACTTCTCATCTGCCCATCATGTCTAAGAAATTATTCAGGCTTGGGGAAGAGATCCTTATACTGAAGAAGGGTCTCCCGGAAAGGGACTGGCTTCCGGCCTGTCAGCTTCTCAACATTATCCGTTGTCTTGGCCATGTGGCCTTCGCCAACCATCTCGCCACAGCACATCAAATCGCCAATGCACAACTTCATGGGCAACTGAGAAAAGTCACCAAAGAAGTCGGTTGGCAGTCCATGGTCCAGCCACCACTGCTTGAGCTCGTCGTCCGGCATGTCCACAAGCTCTCCCTTATAACCAGTCTGGCTGGACATCCAGTCAAAGACTTCCTGGTTTGTGACAGCCTCAGGGCCAGTGATTTCGTATACAGTGTTGGGCTCTCCCTTGCCGAGCAACAGGCAAGCCAGAACGCGACCGCAATCCTCTCGGGCAACGTAGGCGCCAGCTTGACCGTGGGTGTTTGTCAACCAGCGCTCACCGCAGAACTTGAATGATGGGGCGAAAAGAGTGGGAATGTTGTCAACATAGAGGTAATTGCGCTGTATGCTGTAGTCCAGGCCAGAGGCGTAAATGATCTTTTCGATAGCGTGGTGGTCTCGAGGCAAGAAGGGAATATCCTCTTCGTTCTCGGCCTCAATTCCGGCTCCGACAAATGACGTGTAGCAGACGCGCTTTACGCCGCATGCCTTTGCTGCGTCAACTACAGTCTGAGCCTGACGTCGTCGGCCTTCGCCAAAGAGCCATGTGGAGATGAACGAGATAGCCTCTGCTCCCTCAAACACAGCCTTGAGGCTCTCGATATCGTCATAGGTGGCAACAGCGAACTTGGCACCCTTGTCTATCCAAGACTGGCGCAACTCAGCAGGGACGGCATCTTCTTTGTATGTTGTGAGAACTAGCTCGTCCTCGGGTTGAACAATCTCAACGGCGTGGCTGGCAGCAATCTTGCCCAGATTTCCATCTGCGCCGGTGAGGACGTACTTGGTCATGTTTGTTGCTGTAAGGTTGATTTATACGGTATTTGAGGAGAGGGATGTGATGATGGGATTTTTAACAAGACGATGTGATTTATATGAGAGAATATCGAGCAAGTAACAAACTCTGATATTCGCCTGATAGCTCTATCCTTTATACTTGAAGCTGAGGGTATCCACTCGTCAACTGATGATGGGTCCAACTATCAGATCACCCCAACACGACATCCACAATCATGCCACGCACACCCGCATAAAGCAAGCAGGAACCGGATGATAACTATCCCCATGTGGCTCTGCAATTCCGAGACATTGCCGATTTGTCGGTAAACGTAGATGCCGATCCAGAACGGCGGTATAGCCTTTGAGACTATTCCCTTTGCAGGTAGTCTAAGGTGACATCACCTCATCGCCTCGCCGTGGGTGGATAACCATTCGATGTCGCGCAAAGCTCGCATCCTTCAAGGTCAGGACATCATGCCAGTGTCACCCAAGCGTTGCGTGGCGGATAGCTAGGGACTGGGCCATTCTTCAAGGTGCGGCCAGGCTATATATCAAACCACTTCCATATTGCCGCTCATTAGTTGATCCACTAAAGGTACGGAGTGGCCCGGAGGCACAGTCGGACGGACTTCCGCCGCCGGACCTGCCCATTACTATCGAGTAGCTTGGTGTCATTTCCGCGACCTGGGAGGCTAGGTGAGACCCGAACTTTCAGGCCTTATGGTGCAAAGAATTATAGATGAGCGCTATTGCATATCGCCATTAAATGAATAATTGATGCCAAGTAGATGGGCGTAGGAGGATGCCGGGTTCTATCTTCGGGATAACAGCCCCAACAGCGGCGTGAATGGAGACTGATAATGGAAGTGATTTGGGCTGGACATTAACAGGGACGGTTTCGATTTTATAGTCGTGTTAACTAAAATGTTTCTATCCTTTCTAGCCAAGTTAAGCAAGCTGAGCCTCTCTGTGATGGTGGGGCCGTTTGATGTATAGTTGTTAAGCCTTTCTAGCTCTTGTCCCAAGCTCAACTACAGCGGTTAGTTATTCTATTCTCCAGAAAGATAGGTAAACGATGCATCTGTTAATGCTAGACACGTCTTGGGGTGCCGCATCAGACATGTTTTAGACTGTCACTGTCCTATTCATTGACAGACGGTGGTTATCTAATAGCCTCCAGCGAGCGTTTCGGAAGGCCACTTCAGAGTTGGTCGCCAATCTAGACTAGATGGTAATTGTGAATGGAAACAACGTCTTTATAACATAGCAGGCTTCAAGGATTGCAAGTTCTTAATACCATTCAAGTTGCTTTCTTTTGTTTAGATCCAGAGAATGATTATGCCAGCTTTAGAAGCTGGCGATGAAACCCTCGTCTGCCTCGGATCCAACTTTTTGCAGCTCATGGTGGGGAATCAGAGACGTGCTGAACTCTCTAGCAAGGCTAGGATTCTCCCAGCTCGTCACCAAAACGAAACCTTTGCCTCCGCTTCCTCTCAATGCCTGATGCTCAACTTCTTCAAGCAACCACCCTGTTGCCGCCGCCTTGAACCCTTTCAGGCTTTTCACCGAGTAGACCACTTCGAGAGCCGATGCATCAACGGCCGCAGTATCGACAGAAGTCGGAAAATAGAACTTCTGAATGACGGTTGGAGTGTTTTTGAACGCGATGGCCGGCGGAGACAGGCTTGACTCTCCCTCCGGCCCGTAGACATTGAGCATGGCATGTTTGAGGTTTGGAGGCCCGGCCAAAATGCCGCTCACCTTTTCCAAGAACGGGCCATACTTGGGAGATTCCGTCGCTGCTTGGTGAGCCTCGATGCTCTCCCAGTCTGGCTCATTGTCAGCGCTACAAAAAGCAAAAGTGAGACGGCGGTAGAGGTTGCGGAGCCCCTCGTCTACCCCAGCGAAGAGTCAGAGAACATTCTTACCCACAATCTCTACCATGGTATTGGTGTCCTTTTCATCGACGCTGTATAGGGAGCTACGAAACCCTTCAAAAGAACTCAATGTCTTGAGGCAATCTCTCCAGGTGCGGCTCCCCTCAGAGTCAGGATCTACCAAGTTTGCCCCTGGTACTAACGAGAGTACTGCAAATTCGGTCGTCGGTCTGGCCATAATTGCTTGTGATAGAATGGTACGTGTGTTTAGATGAGCATAGAGAAAGGGAGAAAAAGTGAGCGTGTTCAAGGCGCTGACCATGTCGCACAGTAGTACGTAGCATTGGCTCCCCTCATGACCCCTCATGACCCCTCGTTGTATGCATGTCTCGGGGGGTTGAGGTGCCCTGTCCGAAGGGGCGGCCCGGGACCGGATATCTTGCGGTCCGCTCCCGACGACCTCGGCAGGGAGGAGTGGCAACAAACGTCTTGAAAGAATCACGATAAATGTCAGTCCAGATAAGGACTTGCTTGTAGTACATCTATTAAGTAAGGAGAAATAAGCTACCGTATTTCTTCTATTCTCACGACCACACCCTGTATAGCTTATGCCCTTGAAGTTTGACATTTTGTGCATTTGCCACACTTAGAGAGACCCAACTGTCGGGTAAGTGCCCTGGCCAGTTAGTACGGTACTAATAAGGTTGATAAGAGGGAGATTCTGACCAACCAGCCATTGGCGATAGCAGATAGTGCTCGCCCTAGCGACGGCCATTCGTCAGATCGGGTCCCAGGATCTCTATGATGAGGTACCTGACTATCAGCCTCACTACCTAAACTAACTTGAGTTGGCCTTTCAAGTTCAACGCATTACGCCCTATCAAACTCTCCTTGCCTATGTTAAGGGCCTTTCGACATGATAGAGACTGTCACGTATGACTTCATTATCGCACCAAATGGAAAAATGAACTAATAGCTTAGCACTCGATGTTCAACAAAAACTAACCCCGGAACCCCCCCAACTATCAAGACGTAATGGAAACATATTCCGATAGAGTACATGGAGTAAAAAGCAACCAAAAAAGCAGCACAAATCTATCAAATCTTACATGGTTGGCGGCCTCGGGGGGCGGATGTCGGTGTATTGGGTTTGGGAACGACGTTCCTCTGGAAACTCCTTCAAAAGCAGCGTTCTTACTGCCGCATCCCTGACTGCCACATCGTACAGTTCGTCAAGAGTACGCGCATCCAAGAAATATGTCGTCGAGATCCTCTCTCGCTTCAGAAACCAGCCAGACCACCACGTAAGACGGTCGCTTTGGAAGTAGCACACGTCGATTTCCTCGATTCCTTTCGTCAGTTCTAGAGTTTTGTACTTTTCGATGAGGTCAGCCAGCCTCCCGTCGACGTCAGAAAAGGCGTAAATGGCTTTTTCAACGAGTGGGAGGTAAACGTCCGAGATCAAGGGTAGTAGTTCCTTTTCAGTGTAGGTTATTGCGTCGATAGTCTCTTCAACCCACATTCTGTTGGGCATACCATTGGCAAAGGGACTAACGGACTGAGATACCTCAATGAGTAAGCCTCGAACTTCAGGTAGCAGGCGCCGCAGCTCGCGACCAATCCGCTGAAGGATTACAAGGGCTTCAAGGTTGTACTCCTCGATGATAGTAAAGACTGTCTTCATGAGTTTGGGCGTCAGGGTTTGATTGGCTCTTTGTTTAAGTCGGCCATTATCGGTCTCAGCCAATGCGTGGAGGAGAGAAGTAGCGGCCCCTCCGGCAATAAGAAAAGGGGCCTTATCCTCAAAGGAGCCTTGGTCCATGACAAGAGCCTCGGCTCTGGCCTCACAGTCTTTCACCCGGGCAACGAGGTTGGTTGGTAGGGGTGGCAGTGAGCGAAGACCTCCTGACCAGGATGCGAAGCCTCCCCTAATGGTGCTGAGCTCCTCCGAGAGGCCATGGAGAAGGAGCAGGGGTTGCGCAGGCACTGGCCCGCTCACTTCCAAGGGAGTCACCAAAGGGAGCACCGTAGTTTCGTGTTTATCGTAGATCGAACGGATAGGCTCCCAGAAGGCGAAAGGTGCTGTTCGATTATGTGCTGACTGTGAAACCCATGCCAAATTGCCTTGGGGTAGCAAGGGGATAAGAGGGAGGAGAAGCATGATAAATATGACTGCCAAGTGTGTGCGATGATTAAGAAGCTTTTCGGTTCTTGAGCCGATGGAAGGACTGGAAGGCGTAAGTTTGTCATCTTTAAGCGGCGACGAAGATGGCTGGGTAAGCCTAGCAAGGGCCATAGCAGGGGAGCGCTCAGTATCATCTGCCCAAAGGTCAAGAGGTCTGTACTCGGTACATAGGTGTGGAGGAGGATGTAGAGGCGTCCGAGATAAAGTGGCGGTATCGTAAACAAGATGAATCTGAGTATCTTCAGAGGGACACCAGTTACGATGAACACAGAGTTGGACAACGTGAAGTTTGGTAGGAGGTGGTCCCACACAGACGGGGATTTGAATGCAGTGACAGTGCAGAGTAGCAGCTGATGGGTCATGGTGGTATTCCAACAATGGCTCAGGACTGGAGGAAACCGATGGTGTCGCCATGACAGGAGGTGAAGGTATGGGATCAAGCTCAAGGCTCTCTTGGTTGTCGTGATAGCTAGAACCTGACAGGGAGCCTGGAGTGATGAGGGAGGTCGGAGCTGACGTAGAAAGAGAGGCTGAATTGGGGGTCAGGTCTCGATGCGAAGAAGAGATACGTTGCCCTTGCTTCACCGCTTGGCGAGCCGAAGATGAACGGCCCCTAGAGGCTGAGGCGCTTGAGCCGTAGACGGAGGGTCGGACTGGGAGAGTGCCATGCTCCTCTTCAACGGCGTCCGGGTATTCCAAATATAATCTGGATAGTGCGTCTCGCGTCATGGATCTCGTCTGAGGTGGCATATTCTGACTTGCAGTGGATGAGTTGATCCGATGAAATAGGCAAGGCGGACAATGTTGGAGGTAATAAAGACAAGAGAGAGAGTTGGCGATGCGTCTTCGGGCTCAGAAATTGCGAGCAAAGCGAATGAGAGAGAGACACATGAAAACAGGTGAAAGAAGAAGAAGTGGGCAGCAAACGGGTTAACTGACAGGCAGACCGGCTATTAAGAACAAAGAAACTTGGTTAAGTACCTGCTGGTGAGACGTCACACAAATCGTGGTTGAAGCTTTGGCCACCAATTTTGGAACAAAGAAATGTTTACCAAGTTGTAAAGCTTCTCTGCATTATGCCCCTGTATAGGAAAAATAGCTACACTCGCAGACTTTTCGAAATGGTGGCTGCTTGAGAAGACGTTCGTACCCTCTCGTTCCATCACCTCGCGGTGGCTGCGGTAGCCAGGCTTGCAAGACTTTCCACAGCCGCTGCCAAGTTTGCTTTACCGGTCCTGTAGAGACCGCCAACATGGGAATCTCTCCAAATATTAGGTTGATCGCCCTCACCGTGACCTTCAGTAGCGCTTAAAGCGAGGAGGGGGAAGTGTCCATGATGGCGCCAGCCATATAGCTCGTGCGGTGGTATAGACATTGGGGTAGCAGGTAAAGGCACGCAAAGGGGGAGTTGGGAATGCATGGCATTAATCTGTCTTAAGGGGTCAACTGCCAGGAAACTGTAGAAAACGGAAGATAACTTGGCGGGGGAAGCCTTGGCGGGGTAAGGGGGGTTCTCACCGTAGTGTTGGGAGGAAAGTAGTCAGAGCTCTACTTGTTAGAGTGAATTCAAAGGCCGCCCGCCATCTGCGATCAGGGACTCCCCTAAGACTTAGCTGGCCAAGTTGAAAGAGAACTGAAGTGATTCACACGGACAAAGGCAAGCTCTTTCTGGTCAATCAGCCCACAGTCCATCTGCATTATCGAGCGTAGCTCATTCAGGTCATTTCTTACTTGACAGTAGCATTCTTTGGTGCTGGGGCAGGACGTTCAATCGGCTGATCCCTCTAGTCGCACTGAGCACGTCACCGCAGGGACATATAACTTCAATCATCAAGTCATTGCAACGGAAGCGGGACACGACAAGGACATGGTTGCACGCTCGCCGCTAGTAGTTAACTCCCAATATCAAAGACCGCCGGCTATTGTTGACGGCATATTAATGGACACCTAGTAGCTTTGTTGTGAGAGGTGGAGAGCGGATAGGTCTCGCAAAGGCCAGCTGGCCTTGCATCAAGCGCCTTGACATTGAGGATTTCAAGAGATCCCACTGGAGAGACGGGGGTCGAAGGATGCAAAGGCAACATACGTTTAGAGTCCTGTGTAGGGGCGAATCTGTAAGGCCTCTCCTATCATACATCCATGGCACACATTACCCATCTCGTGTGCACACAACCCTCTCGTCAAGAACCCGTACTACTGTCGCCCCATTTCTTGCCACAAAGCTCATCATCCAGCAGTACCTCCTTCACCGTTTTGCCCTCGAGAACGGTAGGCCGAACCACAATGGTGTCGTACTCAGCTTTCACCCTTTCGTCCAAAAGGATGGAACCGACGAGGATCCACGTATCGATCGCCATCTGTGCCTGGCTCCTTAATTCGCTTCCTCGAAAGGTGTTATCCTTTGTCTCGAAGTACGGTGCCATCTTTGCATCAAGTTGGTGCAGGATTGCTATCATGTGATCGAGACGAGCAACGGCGCCGGCATTATGCGATGGCAATGGGACCGAGAGAAGCGTGTATAAAAGGGGCGGAGAAGCGTGATTCTCGGGATGCAGGGCGAACAAGGCTTCGTAAGCGGCGCAGATTTGAAGACGAGGTGCTACTCTGTGAGCAACTCAAACGCCGATAAATAAAGGGAGGTTTTCTTACCGACGACTGTGTTAACCTTTCCTCTCAAATAAGCTGGGATTTGAGGCTCTCTGGCCCACCCCCATCTCCAACCCTTTGCCTGCTCGGCAATATACGGAATGGCAACATCAACAGTCTTGCTAATCAACGCGCCAGCAATCATAAAACCGATGACCGGAATAGGGGCGACCATTTTGATTTTGGGGTTGAATAGAAAAGGATAACGAGGCGTCAGAGCAGTCAAGATGGGCAGAAGGCTTGCAAAGAATGTTGAGGACAGGTGCGATGAACAAGATAGTTCGGGGGTTAAGGAGTTAAACCTTCATGGTTGGTGAGGAGTCAGGCGAAGCTGGATGCTGCTCAGCTCTTCTTTGTTCTACCAACCGGCCAATCAGCATATTCCTCCTAGAAACGTTTAGATTACGCCAGGGACCGTTTACATCATGTGACGTATGAAGGCTTCTGCCGTTTCTTTGTCCCCTGTCCCTCTTTGATGTACTACAGCGGCGAGACGCGGCTCAATTCACCGATGATTCTAGCCCCTACTCCCTAGAATATTGGCATGGGCCATTTATGCCCTTATAATTGTCAGCGACCAAGTATTCCTTCTCACCCTCGCACCTTTACATGAGAAGTTGACTCTAACTACTCTCTTTGCCCATCCATTATTCTCCCCTCTCTATTCGTTTTCCAACCTCTTGGGCCATCAACGCCGCAACCATGCCTGGAGTTCTCGACGATGCCAACGAAGATGATCGCCGAGAAGCCTTTGAAAATTTCCGTCGTCGACGTGATCGTCGAGGGGAACACAACCGCCAGAGAAACCATCGTCAGTCTCACCAGAGTCGCAGCGCCAACGATTCTGGGCAAATTCCAGGCGAGTCATATCAGCCATCCCAGCGTAAGGCCCCTATGAAAGACCCTCATATGGGAGGCAATACACCCAAGTTCTCGGCAGACTCATCGCCATCTCCGCATACGCGCCCCGATCCGTCTAGCTCTCACGAGAGGCCTCTCCGTGAGGTTTCTGGGGCAAGGCGTCTCGCCGCTAAGGTCAAAACTCTCGGAGAAGACCTCGGGGATGTGCTCAAAGGGTTTTTGGAAGAGCTCTCCGGCGCCCTCAATACACTCGCCACATCTGTCTGGAATGGACTCAAGCTGGCCTTCCTGTTCTTCCGCATTGTCAAGTGTCTGACTCCTTCGATAATTATCCAAGCGGCCCTTACTGCCTTTTTCTCCGCCTTCTTTATCCTCGTAGGCTTGGCAGTCCTTCTGAACACGCTCATCCACGGTTTTGGGAGCACATGTAACACCTGGGACTCCCATGCGCCCGCCATTCTCACACCGTTCCCCGGCTGTGGTCAAACGGCTCCTCCTACACAGAATCAAGGACTTTCAGGTGAAGACACTCTGGACGGCTTTACACCACGAATATCACCCCCGTTTTCGTTCTTGGTGCACAGCTTGGACAATACTGATGAAAAGGTCAGCGAACTGACAGACTCATGGTTCAGCCACCCGACAATCTGGATCAAAGATCTCAAGGGGGGAGTATCTCAGGTTGAATCATTAGAGAAGGACTTTGCCCAAGAGCTTGAATATAGTTGGGAGTCTGTGAATAGCTATATCAGGCGCTTTCGTCATGCAGATGAAGCTCCAGCTTGGTGGGGGGCTATCATCGAGACTATGGGTTTCAGCAGCAAAGCTCAGGCCAAGGTCGTGGAAGCACAGAACTTGCAGCTGCAGGAAATCCTGAGTCATTCCCAGAACCGGACACGAGCGGTGAGCGCCAGTCTCGAGGTGATAAAAAGTAGTGGCATTTTTAGCAAGTCGTGGGTCCAGCAAATGGATTCATTTAGCCAGCAAATCCAAGAGCCATTGGGGCTAAGCCATGTCAAAGAATCAAGCCTCCATGAGGCATACTATAGCTTCACTGTATCTTCCAGTAGCGGCAATTACTACAAAAGTCTGCTGGAAGACCGGGGCAGGAGGCTGAAGAGCGATTCGGACTGGCTCTGGGCTAAACTTCAGAGCCTCAAGGATGATCATGTGGCTCTCAGAAACGGGCCTGGCAAAATGGCGAAGAATGAGTGGGCTACCGTGCTGAGCGAAATGCAGACAAGGATCTTGAATATAGCGATAGATTGGAGGAGGAGGCTCAGGGAGCATTTCGTGGAGAGCCACAGTGGGTAGTGTACCTGGGATTGGTTTGTTAAAGTTAGTTAAGGGGAGTAAGCTATTTTGAGATTGGATACTCTTGTTTAGCTTTCATCGATGCCAATATCTGACATCTTTCCTTTGGTAAACTTCCATGCTGTGTTATTATTTCCTCTCGCCTTCCTCCCACTCAATTTTCTCTTATTCACCCATCACTGTTCGAGTGATTCGTAAATAACTTGTTGCTTTTTTGTTTGCCATCTCGATGTCCTTTTATGTCCTATGGAGTAAATACAGTCCTAGTTTTAACGTACTGGAGTCATGCGTAGCTGCAAATAAAAGAGTCATCAGCAGCAGAAAAGGGAGAGGCATGCGTGCCTTTGCAAGTTACTGGTAGTGATCCGCACTGTAGGCGCTTCCATGGGAAGATAATGGATTTGTTCCAAAGTGTGCGATACCTGATAGTTCCTGGTTCAACTATAGATGAAAAGACCCAAATACACGCTCCGCCGTCGTTGCTCAACTATTTAGTCATTTTAGTCATGACAATGCGGTCCTATTCTCGCCCATCGCTCAGTACATCCCGCTTCTTCTTCATCCTCCAAACCATCCCATCCAGCCTGACCAAGTACTCTAGTAAATCCGCAAGATCCTGCAGGGCGGCTTCAATCTCCGTATCCAGGTCAGCAACGGTGTCCGGAAATAGGCTCTCGTCGAGGTCTCTGTACCCTGGAATTTGAGGAAGCTCCGGGAGTCGAGGCACTCCCTTGTTTTTTCGCCTCGATTCCGGTTCTCTTTTCTGCTTTTCGAACTTGTCCGGGTGAGCGTATATATAGGATCGGGTCTTTGCCGCTTCCTTAGCCGAGATACGCGAAACGGAGAGCGAGGACACGTTTGTGAAATCCGTGATGGCGTCGATACTTTCCAAAATTGATTCAGCGTGCGAAACAACGCTTTCGGCACGGAATCGAGGCCGAGGGGCATACGGGCGCGGATGGTGGTCATGTGGCTCACTGGGCATCTTGGTCGTTGCGAAGAAGGGGGCCCCCGACGCATGATTAGGGAAGAGTGGTTCGTCACTATTGAGCCGGTGATCCGCAGTGATTATGTCTAGTTCGTCTTGATCCAGAGAATCTTCGTTGAGGCTTTCCCTAGCCTCGCTGGTAGTTTCGGCAATAGCGGCGGCGGCAAGACTAATGATCTGACGATCGGAGAAAGTGATTTCTCTGGTGTCACGATGGTGCGCGATCTGCTTTGCTTGACCTTTAAGGAGGCGATATCGCTCAGTTGCTGATTCAACGGTGTCGTTGTAGACCGTGAGAACATCGTATTCTCTCTCCGAGAGGCCTTGATTACCCATACATCGCATGACCGCCTTTGCAGCCTGCTTGACAATGGATAACTGGGCAGCTGAAAGGTCGCTGAGCTGATTGAAAGTGACCAAGTCGTAAGCCTCCTGGAGGAGAGCGTCTGGTTCACACCGATGATCCATCTTCTCCGAGGGAGGCAAGACAAAACGATATGTTGTGAAGAATATGACGCTGTGCTAAATAATAGCAGAGAACAATTGAATAGAAGGGATGGAAGGCGGTGATGATGCGACGATGAAGTGGATGAAGGTGATGACACCCCTGAGATCACCTTCGCTGCCCACCCGTGACCATCTTGTGATGTATCACATCTCAAAGAGACTAAGGGTGTCAAGGAAACAGCTGCGACTGTGGTATTTTCATTATACCCAAAGCCACGGCAAATATCATCTTTCAACCGGCTTCGAGAACTTGGCCGTTTGAGTAAGAAGTTCAGCCGCGTCAGTCAGTCAACATCCACCAGCGGCGAGCAAACTGATGCAGGCTCCCGAATGTGACAATCAATAGTGACAGTGTTGGCATTGAACGGGCGCAAAGGCAAGTTTCCGGAATGACATCATGATGCTCATGAGATCCTTTGTCCAAGTGCTATTCTTTCTTGTGATCAAAATGCCCACCCAAAAAGGCCGCCATATCAACAAGTAACCATCTGTCAGCTGTCAAATGGCCCTTGGGCCACATGCGTCTTGGAATCAGAGGATGTGCTGACCCGCCGTGAAAGGGCCCCGTATTCTTTGTTCACTGGCGCGCATCGGGCTTCGCCTGGAAAGAGAGCAGCTATTTAGTCTGTTGTCCTTTTACGTGTGTGCATCAAGCACCGTCTTTGATGAACACCACTGCATAAATTCTCCTGGAAACCCCGAACGTCACTTGTTTTCTTAGTTACTACAAAATCACTCTTGCTAGTGGTCGTGGCCTTATGCTCTTGTTTGAGCCAACGGTAAATCGTACTCTACAGACAACTTCTCTAGTGCCTTTTGCATCAGCAACAACTCTTAGGTAGGGCTCTCAGCCCTTCAATGATGCGCAAAGCTCACTTAATGACACAGTAGATCTGTGCCCTCTCAAACGAAGACCTTTCGGCTGGCGAACACGTTGCCTATGGAGGTCAACGCTGAAGGTTTGTGCCGGCGGAAGCCCGAAGACTACTCATGCGAGGTGGACAGAAGACTTCAGTGGGAACGAGAGGCCAACAGGGATGACAAATATCCTCAAGCATCAAAACCCTCGATGCCTTCCAAGAAGTTCGGGAAGCATCAGAAACCTCCCGATGACCCAGCGTCCCAAACACCAACTCCCTCCACAGTATTACGCTCCAACGTGGTTGGAGGTACGAGCAGGCGCAACAGCGCAGAAACGCCCAAGACAGTTCTAATCTTAATCGACGGTGGACATCGGTCTATGTACGAGCTGCGGGATCTAATTTATTCAGACGACGAAGGCGGAGACACCATAGTGGACTCAAGTAGTGAAGCCGAAGACCACGGGTCGAGCTCCCAAGATGAGATGAGTGATAGCGAAGATGTCCGTGACCTCGAAAACTCGAACAACGGGTCGCGGGGGGTCGATGAAGAAACAGAGCCTGACTTTGAGATGGTGGATGCTACTCCAGCCAAACCTGCGCATTGCCATGTGCCCAGCCGCAACCACTGGCACAAACAGTCCCCCCGTCAGGGGCCTTGTCAAGATCGACTAACTCTCCATGGTACGCCTTCTTGGCCATCTAGGCCATCTTACACGCCGCCCTCGAGCCTTCTACCATCTGGACATCCCATTACAGACCCAGCCCCTACGTCTGTTTGCTCCATGACCCCATCTGACTCGATCTCTCACATCCATAGTGACGCACGAGCACCACTTCCAGAAAAGGACGATGGTCTTGTGGCTATACGGGCTGAACTAAGAGCAAAGACACTTCTAGAGATCTACCAGGCCATTGACGAAGTAGCCGAGAAGATCATTGGGCTCACAATACGGCGAATCAAAGTTCGAGCGTCTATGGCTGGCCCCGATCTACCAGAAGACCTATATTTGCAGAAGCGAAAGTGGGTTGCAGTGGCTGGAGTTATTAAGGAAGTTTTGGAAGAAAAGACGGGTCCACATGATGATGCATTACTTGGGGGGAAGTGGTGGTGGTGGATGTTCATTTGAGGAGGTCAAGAAGTTTGCCTTTCAACAGCCTCCGCATACGGCAGCATTAAGACGCTCTCCATGCTAATGTGCGGCATCTAATGTTTTCTGGAAGACTCGCGAAAGAGACTTATCAAGAAGGGGTGGTTCGTTACGCATAGGCTGTATAGAGAAATGATCAAGCGGTTTAGCAGATCAAGCCTGCACTTCCCGTCGTTTTGCCCAATTGCATTTTTCTTCATGTATTGGCTAGTAATCCTTGAGTCTCATGGGTCGGCCCTTCATTACTTGTTCCTCCTTTTCTGTCGGCTTCTAGTGTTGGTGAGGAATGGGCAATATATTGTCCTAAAAGCGCCCTGCGTTGCCCCCAATCGTCCAAGTTGGGCCAGTCAGGTCATGACGGCGAAAGATTTCTACCGCGTCGTTCAATGACCACTTCGTCCAGTCGGCGTCGGCGTGGCGTCCGTACCATTCTGTAGCAAAACCCCAAATCTGCTCAACTGGCCGCACATCGCCCTTGGGGATTCCCCTGGTGGAACACCACTCGTCAACCTCAGTTTCGTCGCGGAACAGTAACTGGACCGAGCAGGTATATATGACGTTATCCCAGGCGTTTCGCATCGGGACTGGAAAGTGTACAACGTAGTCCTTGTCCAACAGCTTTCCATCTTCGACGGTAAGGGTCACTTCGTCGCCGATAGCGCCGAGTCTCGTCGTGAGAGTCGCAGTGCCTCCTGCTAGCTTCATGACTCCAAGAGAGCACCAAGCGCAGTTGCCCCACCACTTGCGCTCGCCTGATGTGACGATGCAGGTCGTGGGCGCTGCTGAAAACGGGTGGGCAACCCAGACCTCGTCGGAATGTGGGTGTAGTACTACCCCATGGTATTCTCCCAAAGCTTACAGGCCCTGCCGTGCCGTGGCTTCACTGCATTGAAATTGAGTGGCGATCTCGTTGACCGTTGGGGGACGTTGGTTGGCAAGAAACGAGGAGATGATGGCTTTGTGTAGAGTTGAATTGTCCATGATGAACGTGGATGAGCCACTGTGCTCAAGTGTTGCAAGGGATTGGTATTCTCTGTATTGCCTGGTGCGAGGAGATGGTGCTTTGTGAAACTAAGGCGAAAGAAAGGATGGGGGACGTTTGATTTATAGTGGGTAGTTATATTTAATTTAGCCTGGAGCAGCCAGTGTGGTGTTGGCTTGGATGTCACGTTAAGGGCGCGCCGATGACATGTGTGGGTAGGTAGGTGGGTAGGGAGAAGAAGACAGGCCAATACACTTTCTATCGGATGCCTGCCTATTTAGCAGTGTTTTGCATGTCAACTTTTAAAAACGCCATGTATTGGAAACTGGGTCCTGTGCCATTGTGCCTGATGGTCTTCGTTGGAGACGTTCTCGATAACCAGAAGAATGAAACTCCTTCTATAGACATGTGGCCATAGGGGTAGACGTAGACTGAGGGATAGCACACAAGATACGAATTTGGCTCATGTTAAATTATAGTCAAATTCGATACAAAAAGCTCAAACAAATCACTGCCCCGCGCAGACAGTATCAAGTTGAAGGCTGGTATGAGACGAGGTTGATGAGACTTCAGACGCGCATTATAAAAAGAAAAGAGTTCAAGCACGTGGCTACATTCCTATAATACCACTAGATATGCTCTTTTTTTTTTTTTTTCTTTCAGAATGCACCAATTCCAGAGCCGGATGGCACGGCAGGCGAACTAGCCCAAATGCCAAACACATGGCTAAATCATCACAAAGACACCAAAACCTTCAGCTTATCACATGGCGAGAAGCCAAAGTCTGAGGCTCATCACACAGGGAGAAGACCACAAGTGTGCTTATCAATATCATTGGACGACCTTTGCTTGGCATTTCATCATGTATCTTGTAGAACCAATTAAAGGAGAAAACACATTTGTGATGACGCAGCCTGGAAAATAAGGCATTGATGCCTAAGATTACCTGGTAAGAGACATGAAGACGCCTCTCGTGGCTGAAACAAAGAGCTTGGCATTGATGCCATCCAACGAATGCTGGCCACGAAGCTCAGCTTCAACCTTAAGGGGCTGAGAGGGGACCGGCCTTTGTTAAATCCCAGCATGCCCGGCGCTTACTTGCGCAGTCACAGACCAACAAACAGGCATTTGACAGTCTCGGGAATATTATTATTCACCCTTATTCCAGGAGTCATTCTTAGATCTTGAGAAGATTTCTTTTTCTTTTTCCGAAACCTACATTTTTTGTCACTTGGATTCCTCTCCCTAGTTTCACTCTACCCGCTTGTGGCTGTTCACAGTATGAGCACTTCATTCTCCGCCACGCCGCCGAATTCTCAGATTACTGGCCGGCCCGAAAAGCCATTCACAACAAATCACCTCTGCGAAACTACCCATTATAGAATTGGCGGGAAGAGTCCGAGGTTTGCTTTCCGTCAGGGAAACCATCCACGCGATGACTCCCCTGGAATTGGCAAATTTTGTGCCGAGTTATAACGACCAAAGATCTCCCCAAGGGGCGCCGAACCCCCCACCAACACCGAGCACCACGGCGACCGATGGTATTCCCTCTAAGGATGGACTGGGACCTAAGATCTGGACTGGCACTCACTTCTTGCCTCGATTTGTGCGGGCCGCGGAGGTACCTGGTGAGGGAATGTGTTACTTCTACGACGATGGCAGTTACTGCAAGGCAGTGATCAATGGCGAAGCAGTCAACGCCCACTGGGGTGTTACCAAGGCTGGTAAGCCTCGAAAGCGACTGGCGATTTCTTGTGTGACATGCCGCGAGAAGAAGATCAAGTGTGACCCAGATTACCCCCGCTGCGTTCAGTGCGAGAAGTTTGGTCGGGTGTGCAAGTTTAAGAACCATCCACGCAATGACTCCCCTGGAATTGGCAAATTCTCCGCGATGACTCCCCTGGAGTTGGCAAATTCTCCCCCTTTTGTTGAGCAACGCATCGACAAGCTCAATGCTATCAATGCCGAGAGTTTCGATCCTCTCCTTAACCCGCGTCCTGAATCTGTGCGGTTCTCTCAGCCGGTGCCTCCCTCCGCCTCCGAACAAGACATACTCGACGTTCCTCAAGACACTCAGCCTAGCGCCAAACCGAACCCTCCCTCCAATAGTGGACGTGACGATTCTCACAACGCCTCGCATCCCGAAGACTCTGGGTACGCATCGATAGCAGCGGCTGTCTATTTTCCAGTGCGCGGGACGAAAGACGCCGCTGAAGAGATGGTTGGGGTAGCAGATGACGACGCCGACGCCAGAACTACATACTCCAAGGTGACCAACGAAGATCCCCTGACGACACGCGATTTTGTCCACGAGCTCGCCAGCGACATTCACGGGAATTTGAAGCTTTCGATGTGCCCTGATGACTGGCCACTGGTTTTGAAGTCGCTTCCTGAACTCCTCAAGGCCTTCGCTATAAGGATTGGTAGCAATGGCGCGTCACAGGCCAGCCGTGATGTGATGTACTTTATTCACAAGCAACACCGGTACTTGCACTTGCTACTTGGAATTTCCCTAAGCTAACCCTTGACGCTAGGGCCATTACCGATCAGTTCAAGAGATTACTTCTTGACCTGGTTGAGGATGACGTCGCATCCTGTGTTGACAACGACATGGATATCATGTCCTTGCAAGACAAGATAGACATGTGGCAGGATGAAAAGATGTCCATACAGGAGAGTGCACCACAGAACAGTGAATTGTTTCAAAACGTGGCTGACGACGACTCCAACATTACTGCTTCACTCCTGTACAGCAAGATGGTTCTGGAGAGCAAGGACTACTCTTGGTTGGTTCAGCGTCTCGAGACAGAGTTGTCCCTCGAGCGGGGCGAAACCAAACCCTCAGGTGACAATATACCCATACGACAACAGATTGTTTCAATGCTCCCACCCAGCAACATCAGCAAGAAAAGGCGGCCAACTCAGCAAGTTGTTGTTCTTCAGCTCCCCCCACAGCCAATTCGCTTTCTGCCCTCCGATCCCGTTTTGGTTACTCCCAGTTCCCACAGTCTCCAGTTGACCAACATATTGGCCTACGTCAACCAGACCTGGCCATTGTTCGGCGAGGAACTACTGAACTTCGTCAGCGGGGCATTTTCACATCCTCATTCCACCGCGACTATACACTCAAGTAGGTCTACGATGTGCCTGGTTTAACTGTCTCGAATTCGAAATGCTAACAACATTCAAGCGACTCTGGCCGACGATGCACAGCTAGTTGGGCTTTTTGGTTCTTCATGTTCGCTTGTCGGCATTACGGGCCCAGCTTACTCTGTCTCTGAGATTGGAGAACAGCTGGCCTGGTTGGCAGCTGCTACCTCTAAACCTCCACACTCAAATGACAGCCATGTCATTTTCACTAAGCCATCAGTTACCTATCTTGGACGCCATGCCGAGGACTCGTGCCCACCTCAGTGGAACATTCAGGGTGATCTAGAGAGATTCCTGTGCGCAGCCTCAGGCTTGGAGCGCCAGGGTTTCAATGGGGAAGTTGCATCAAGCTTGAGAAACCCAACCAGAGAGATGAAAGGGTTTGTCGCAATCCAGGTAGAAGTTTCGCATGAACATGGATCCTATGCGAAAAGGCAATGGAGAACCCTCTTGGACCAGTTGCTGGGGTCCTGCCCACCTGTTGTTACGGGCTATCCCATAGCTCGGAGGCTACAGGGGTGCCTGGGCCTTGAGCTGCCTTACCCATTGTTGCGGCATGCTCAAGATACAGACCTGGGCGACTCTTGCCGCCTGAAAGAGCCCTCTTTGGATCTTGTTCAAGCAGGAAGCGCTAATGGTGTTGTTTATTGGCATGACAAACACGCTCATAAGTGCTCGACTGATCGCTTCTTGCATACCCATGGAAACGGCCTCGGGGTGGCATTTTCTCACAGCGTTTTAGAAAAGCGGCGTCACGTTATCTGTGACTGCGAGCTCTACGTAGCTACGGGTGAGTGTCGTCCTTTTTTTGGCTCTTCATTTACTGACATGCCGGTCAGAAGATCAGGAAACCTCCATAGCAGCTAGGTCCGTCTTGAGCGACCCTTTGACTGGTAGCCTGATGTCGGTGTCAAGCGACTCAGTGAATATTGGCAGACCAAACAGTGGAGGCTCTGGATTCCATTTCTTCAAGGATGTGTTTAGGCATATCGTACTGGGGTATCTTTCCCAAGCTCCCGTCGACGACAGCTCTTCTACAAGTGGTTCAAGGTTACCGCCGTCAGGAACACGCTCATCGACCTCACACAGTGGCTCTTCAACGCAAATCAGACCTCGGAAGCGTCAACGAGGGAACGATGAGCCAGAGGATGACAACGATGATCTTCAACCAAGGAAAAAGCTCGGAGGACAATCATCTTGTTCTTTGGCGAAGCCCAAATTCCTAGCCTGCCCGTTCTGGAAGCTTGATCCCAAAAAGCATTGGGAGTGTTTTTCGAAGAAGATCACAACGGTCAGCTACGTCAGGCAGCACTTGGACAGACGGCATACCCCCGCTCTCTATTGTCAGACGTGCTTCACTATTTTTGCGGACGAGGCCCCCCTCGACAATCACATCCTCAGCAGATCCTGTGAACGGGATCCTTTGAAAGGTTTGGATGGTATTTCGACAATTCAAAGCCGCAAGTTCCCCAAGAAATCGAAAGGGACGACCGAGGAGCAGTGGTATGCCATCTAGGACATCCTTTTTCCAAGCGAGTCACGACCACTGAGTATCTACATCGACTTTGACCAGTCAGCGGATTTCGTTCTTCTGCGAGAGTTTTGCCAGAGAGATGGTGTCTCTATTCTTCATGACAGGGTTCGAGCAACAGGAAGAATATTGAGACCAGACGTGTCAGAGCAAGAGGTGAGCGACACACTTCGGCAAGCGCTCGATTCATTATTCGAGTATTACCGCATGAACGAAGCCCGGGTCCCAGAGGAGCCTCTACACACTGAAAGCGGTACATTGGGCAACTCAAGGCCTCAAGGGGTCATTGCAGACAACCGAAGCACAGACAGCGGTTTGATACTGAGCTCTCACTCTTCTCGTGGCTCCCTTGCCGACGACGGTGCAATCACATCGAGGCCAGAGATCAGCAACGCACGAACTCCAGCAATAGAAGCCATCCAGTCAGCGACCCAAGCTCAAACAGACCCTGTTGGTTCATTACAAGTATTGGAAGCCTTCAACACGGATGTGTCGCAGGACTGGGGGATGTTGGGAGAAACGGAGAGTGCTTTTGGGGGAGCCAACTTGGACGAGCTATACGATAGATTGGTTGTTCAAGGTGGTGCGGTGGAGCTTGATGGGGACCTAGAGACATGGACAATGGACGGTACGTGGAGGCAACCATGATTGGAGGGCTCAGGTTGCAGCTTTCTACGGGCAGGTTAGCAGTGTAGGCATTTCAAGGAACTCCCTTCTCATAACCGAATCATTACTCGTTGAAATGCCATTTCTTGAAAAATGCCATGATAACAAGATCAAGTATTGACTAAACTAAATATCAAGAAAGGAAGAGGCTCCTTGCGAAGCGTTGCTATGCTCATGGCTCTACAGCAGGAAGAACGAATGAAAAATCTGATGACGCTAATTACTCCAAATTCCACCCAAATATCATGACTCATGGCAGTATATATCGTAAATGAAGGTCGTTTCTCATGGGCGTTGCGCCGTAATGATGACAAGGCGCGTCGTCGGTCGACATTATCGTCTCGTGGAAGAAAATGGGGCCATGCAATTTGTGTGCTTGTATATTGCAGGTTGAAACGTATTTAAGAGATGAGACATCTCGATGTAGGTGTTGCGACGGGTCACATGCACAACTGAAGTTCGTCGATGGAGAGTCTGCGTGGCGCGCGGACGCTGTAAATGTCGTGGATTCTCTGAGAACAATAGGTTAGATGGTGTATCACATATACCGAGAGTGGCATGTACTTACGTGAACTTCATAGTTTCCCTCGTTAAACGTCTTCTTCAGAAAAGTGACGAGTTTTGTAGGGTTGATCCTCCTTCCGTCAACATCCTGAAAGTCGTCGACATCGTCGTAGGGCGTCGTGTCGGAACCGCTGGTGTTGGTCGATTTGAGCGGAGGACGCTCACTGTCGCGAGACATTGTTGATGTGATGCTTGGCATTTGTTGTTGCTAGGATCAAGTTTTGAAGGACTAGGCAGCGTTGGTAGGACTTTTATCGTTCTCAGCCACCGTGGTGAGGCAGCTCATGGTCTCACGTGTATTCGGGGAATGGTCCCTATTCGGGAATCGAGACTTTGCCATCGTGACGCGCAACGCGAAGTGGAAAAAGGGCTGACCTATCATTCTTGCTCAGCCACACTCGGTGGTCCCGTCGAGAGGCACAAGGGCTCATCTAATTGGTTACACTCGCTCCAGGATGAGCCACTCTGCTGGTCCAAAGCATCGATGGGTCACCTGAGGCTGTGCTCTCACACTTACCCCTGCCTCGGGGTCACTCCTCCGAGACTCCGTACAGGGGTTCTCGAGAGCCATGACCCTGCGCCTCGAGTCTCGAGTCACCAAATGTCTCACTCCCTCCCAATGAGAGTCCGCCTTGCCAGGCTGAGAGGGCAGCTGAGCCTGTCGAAGTACCGCAGCCTGATTGCAAATGCCCTTTAAATTACAGCGCCCCCTTGCGACCGACTGGTTGCCTCGGAATTCCCGGTAAATTCTCGATCGGCCCATCCTTGCCTTGCCTTGCCTTGTCTTGCCTTGCTGTCGCCATGAGAAGCTCCCACGACAACCCCGGCCCTGCAGGCGATGCGCTGCTAGAGGTGCCAGCACACCAGTCCCAATCAAGTACAGACAATGATGGACAACCTGTATCTCGGCGGAGCACTGCTTCTTCCACGTCGGATCTAGAACCGCTGACAGACTCGGACTATGAGTATGACTTTCCTCCGACCGGAGTCATCATCCACATTGAGGGCACGCCTCTCAATAATCAGCCTGAGATTCAAGAGTCAGACTCTGAATTAGTACGTATTTTTAAACCTAGTTCACTCACAAGTCAATTAACGCCAGCTTAGAGAGACGTCTCAAGGCCACCATCACCCAATCTCTACGACAAACGCACCAACAACGACATCGCCCTCGCTTCAATAAAAGGCAAGGGACTGCCTACTCTCAGCCCCGATCAGCAACCGGTTCTACCGACAGACCATAGCGAGGTTTCTGATCTTGGCGATGGCCTCGACGATACCAAGGCAGAGGACAGGTTGTGTGAGTGGCAAAAGGATCGCCACCCCGAAGCTGCGCTGCACGACCTGCTACTAGCCGAGTATCGCAAACCGCAGGCGGGGAGCAAAGGATTCATCCCTAGGGGCCATATCAGGCGGGTTCTTCAAGAGCGCGACGTGAGACAGGAGATTGTTGAAGCATTATCTGGGCCTTCCGGGCCATCACAGGCCATCTTGGCCAAGGCCAATGAGTACACGAGACTGATCTGTAACCCTTCGCCTCACCGGCGGTCCAAGCACGGAAACAACTCAAAACCCGAGTCCTATCTCAAGATCTTTGCAATTCTAGTACTCATAGAAAGAGTCTCATCCATTGGCGATTTCATCAAAGAAAGGGTTGATGACAGTGCGCTTCCCCTACGAAGAGTCGAGGTCAAGTCGGCCAGAGTACCAAGATTCGAACTACGGCCGCGACCCCAAGATTCGAGTCGTCTTGCCTGTTTCAGAAAGTGGAACCAAGTGCAGCTCATGCAGTTTGATGATTGGCAATGGACTGTCATGGCACCGTTCTTCTCTCGTGCGGTAGACGGCAAGGTTATGAGATATCGGTTTCCAGACTCTACGATACTACCATTCTCAAAAGAGAAGAGGCAAGCTGGTGACCCTTTTGAAGAACAAGAGTTTGAAGGAGGATTTGGCAAGGTTTCCAAGGTGTACATTCACCCAGAACACCACAACTTCTACGATGGCAAGGTATGTTTCCCTCATTCTATTCCCCAGTGTTTTTCACATTCCAACAACTCGCAGTCAAACGACTCTGCCTTTGCTATCAAAAAGCTCAAGTCAAGAAGTCTGGAAAAGTACAAGTCCGAGTTTACCATGCTCGCCACGTTCTCCAAGACCGAAGACCCTCATCTCGTCCCTCTTAGGGCCGCATATCGCCTTCGCAACGCCTGCTACTTCATCTTTGACTGGGCTGATACAGACTTGTCGCGATTCTGGACCTTCACGGAACCTAAGCCGCCGTTTAACAAGGATACCGTGCTTTGGGTATCCAAGCAGTGCTATGGACTTGCGAATGGTCTACAGACTATTCATCGCTATGGAAGCATTGAGCAGAGTACATACCAGTCTTCGACAACAGCTGATTACGAGGCTACTCCTAGTAGGAAGCTGTACGGTAGGCACGGGGATATCAAACCCCAAAATATTCTCCTCTTCAAAGATCCCGAAGACCCCGAGGGTAGAGGTATTCTCAAGATCTGCGACTTTGGACAAGCCGAGCTTCATTCAGCTCACAGCAGATCCAACCGACCAAACACGGATGTCGCCATCTCTCTCTTCTATCGGCCGCCCGAGTGCGACATCAAGGGTGGCACAATCAGTCGGTCATATGACATCTGGACAATTGGCTGTCTGTATCTCGAGTTTGTTGCTTGGATGCTAGGTGGCTGGAGTCTGGTCACCATTTTTGCTCGGCAGAGGGCAGGGCCTGATATTCCTTGGGCTCCTCAGCTTAGAGAGCATCTCTTCTTTGATCGGTTAGATGGGGGCAGATCAGCCGAGGTCAAGCCATGTGTTGGCGAGGTAAGCATACACATTTCTTTCGGCCATTAGCTTTCACTAATGACTATCTAGTTTATTGACTGGCTTCACTCTCACGCCAAGTGTAGTGATTTCATCCACGACTTTCTCAAGATCATTAAGAAGGAGTTACTAGTAGTCGAAACAGCTGATGCCGATAGCTTCAAACGCATAGAGTGCGGACCGCTTGCTACGAAGCTGCATAAGCTGTATCAACATTGTCTAAGTGTCCCAGGCTACGCAGACGAACCGAATCCGGGCCATTCTGGCTGAACGGGGAAGTAGGACTTGGGGGCTGAATGCATAGCTGGCTCAGTGATAGATTTCGGAAGTCTAATGACACCATCTAGACGTACATAGCATAATGAAACCAAGTCTCCGTCCCTAACAAATTCCAATATCAGCTAAGGGTCGAGTAAAATCAATCCAGCTTCCTGGCACCTTGCCAGCTCCCACTCTCTCACACACCCATGGTCCAGAAGACGGTTTAGGAGACACGAGAAGAACGTAGTGAAACTTCTCCTCGATTCGATCTGAACCTTTGCTTCTCCCAACAACAACGCATAGCACCCTGCGTAGGGTCCCTTTATGATCAGAGACTCGGTCATAGAACTCCTCAAGATCATCACCGTGGTCAGGGGTCAGTTCGTTAGCTTTAGCTCTGATCTCCATAGTTCTGCTTTGTTCATCCTTGAATGTCAAGGTGTGTCTCAAAGGAGATTTGAGATTGGTTTCCCAGTCTACCGTGTCGAACGGCACCGGGATGTAATCCATCTCACCCTTCACAGCCATCCAAGACCAAGAAGGCACTTGCTGTCTGTCTGCCGGGAACGAAATCTTCTCCATAGAATTCACAGTCACAGCTCGTCTCCATAGTAAGCTCCTGTGAAAGAGACTTTTGTCATCCAGGATGCCAAATTTGCCGTTGCAGACGAAGCCTCGACTAAGTCTCTGTTCCAAACCGTTCATTGCCACGCATCGATCCTCGGGTTTGGAAAAGGCGAGTCGAGAGTAGGTCTTGTAGAGATCTTGATAGTAGAGGATCTTTTCGCCGTGAGAGGTATCTCGGTCGGCTCGTGGGGAGTGGATAGCGATTTCCGGGAAGTTGGGGTCTCCAAGGAAAGCCGCCAGCTCACTGAGGCACGGTCAGCGATATCAGTATCAGAATGAGGGGTGCACTCACTTTTTCATGTGTGTTAGAGTCTCACATCGAACGCCGTTGCCACACTCCCAGTAGATCTGCTTGTCAGTAAAGAAGATCGTCCGACGAGCCAAGACTCTCTCCTGAAGTACCCAACCTCTCTTGTTCAACGGTCCTTCAAGAACATCGGTGTTGAAGTCATCCAGAAACTGACAGACGTAGAATGGCGGATCTCGGCCGTTTCTGAATGTCGCAAAACGTCTCGAATCAGATTCAGGTCTGTTCTTGAGGAACCCATCCCATTGATCTCGAGCACAGCTTGCGGCGATGACGCAGTAGGCAGAACTAAAGACATCTTCCATTCTCTGAGACTCGGTGTTGAAGTCGCCATCTGGGCCTTGAATGATGCAAATGGAGTCGATCCAGAGATATCGAATGCCCATGTCACGGGCCATGGTGACGGCATCTTTAAAGGTGTCCGGGAGCTTGTAGAAGTCAATATTGTTGAGGTGGGCGGCGTAGTTCTGGGTCGTGGTTCGGAAATGGTTACTGGCGGTAGGGTCTCCCCACTGATGAGACAACGCGATATACTTGAGGTTTTCAGTCTTGTCATCGGGTCGTGTCTCGTACAGCTGGATCTTGGAGCCAGGCTGGCCAATGTCGATGAGCCTGGTCGGCAGTTGAAAAGCTTTACGACTACCAGGTCCGTCCTTCTGAGGCAACCCTCTGCACTTGGGGTGGTTCTCATCGCATTCTTTTATCCATGTGTTGATTAACCTGATCTGATATGTTGTTCTTGCCAATTCGGTTACTTGCGGGATTCCGACCTGTAGTGAGGCCGGCAGATTCAGGCCTTGCACACTGTCAGTCCATGGGATCACATGGAAGATATAGAAGAGTTACCGGGGCCACTGCAAATAGAAAAGACAGGAGGGTCACTCTCGTTGAGTTTCACCACCGAATCAATCCTGTCAAACCTGGCAGAGGGAGAATAGCCTTCAAGATACTTGCAGGCCTCCCACCTCATGCTACAGAATTGACAACTCTCTTGGCGCACTTTGAGCTCTGAAAGATTATCCTCGATGTGAAATCCGGTGGTCCAAAAATCGAGGTCCTTGCAGCTGTCGCAGAGTTGCTCAGCTTCTCCGTGAGAGAAAGGCTCGAGTGCAGGACTATCTCCTGCATCGATAATTTTGAAGGCGAAATCGTTGTCTACAAGATAATCCCAGACATGAATGTCTAACTATACGATGATTGATGAGCTATAAACCCGTTTAAGGAGTCAGGGGCACTTACGTTCTTTGACCCGTTAGTTAACTCTCAGCTGTAGCTGAAGGTAATATTTACCCGCTGGTTTTGAAACATCAGTCATTGCTTTCGATTAAAGCGCGTCGGTAGAAAGGACTTACGTGCTGAGAAAGTTAGCATCACCTCCCAATGATGGGGAGTGAGGCATAGATTGTATGCGCAGACACAACTGGGCATATCTTACAGACTGCAATTATATAGGTCAGTATCTTCACCATGGCAAGCAGTTACTTGTCTCACATACTGCAAAACTGATTAGCTTGTGATCTACTCAAGACACGGACATGCTGGCTTACATTCTTTGAGTGCGAAAATTCGCATGGCTCGTTAGCACGTTTTCATCAGTTCTCGGGATAACATACGGGCTAAGTGGTTAGGGTCGGTTTGTCTCTAATATGACTGCCTTCATCAAGATATCACTTACATGGCCTCTCATTTGTGCAATTGGCCTGATCAGCTGTTTGATCCGCTTCCTTAGCCCAGCCGAGTCCGGATGCAGGGTACTCGACGATTGCTGTGCGTACAGCGATGGCGGTGGTGCATTCTCTCGGTTCCTATCTGCGAAAAGGTAGTAAGGGTCCTTTTTGGCATTACCTACGATGAGATCCAAACGCTCCCTAAGAACCTGTGCTGTAGCGCGATATCGTGGTCTAGACTCGCTCAAGGAAACCCATCTGCTTGTAGGTCGCTCTCGACTGCTTGGGAGATCAACTATGAGCAGTTTGGCCTTGACGATATGAAGGAGATCTCCAATCGCTGTGTTGCGTGTGCAGCTTCTAGAGAGCTCTCCAAACCGCTGTACAATGAGAGGATGGAGCTGAGCTTTGTTGTCGGATCCGATGATGTAGTATGGTGGCTCCAGATCGTACATGGATCCCCACTGGTTCTTGATGTTGTACTCGTGGATGGATTCGTTGAAACTCCTCAAGGCTTCCTTTCCTTGCAAAAGCCAGATGAGAAACTGCAGGAAGATGCATCCCATAGACCATGTGTCGTAGAGCCGAGACATAGCGGGGGTTGTGTTGAGTTTCGAGACTCCCGCTTCAGGCGGTTCATATCGAGACGTCCCGTATCTGGAGCTTGTTGCATTCCTTCGTAGACGAGTCTGAACTTGATGATACTTGGCCAGACCCATGTCTGCAATTTTCATGGTTCCAATTCGCTTGGGGTCGTCTGATTTAAAGATCAAAATGTTTGCGGGCTTCAAGTCTCCGTGTCTGATACCACCTGATGGCGAAGCGGGACGTCCATCGCTTTCAACCGCGGCCTTCTTATCGTCGTAGTTGTGAAGCTTCTCAAGAGCCGCCCCAAGTCCACGCAGTTGCTCAAAGACATCCATTAGAAAATCCAGGTTGAGCTTTGGACTACTCTGCCAAAAATCCTCAAGGCTGCCAGCATCGGCCCAAGGGAACAGGAAGTAATGCATCGAGCCCTTCTCGATCGCAGCAAGACATGGGATCAGGTTTTCGTGCTCAACTTTGCTGCTTCTCGCGAGTGCCAGAGCCTCGATGTCGTAGGCTTTTTGGACATCTCCTTGCAACAGTTGACTGGCTTTGATCTCTTTGACCGCAATATTGGTACGAGAACCATTTCGCTGCAAGACGTGTCAGGAGCAACGGTGCCACTAAGAGAACAGGACGCACCTTGAAAAGCTCATCGTCCATATGGGCCCGGTGTACAGTGGCTTCATAAACATCGCCAAAAGTGCCTCCCTTGAAGGCACTGCTGACACGCTCAAGGGGAAGGATGGCGCTCTCCTGGAGCGAATGCATCAATTGTGGTCTGGTGAAGACGGGCACGAGAAGACCCCACTGGTCTGTTAAGAATCCTTCCTTTCGGACTGCATTCCATAGTCTCCGCCCCTTGAACGCAGCCGACATGAGGTCAGCATGACGGTCTGGTAGCACCGGTAGCTTGTCATCGTCGAAGCCCACGTCTTGAAAAGTCTTGATGGCGTTGTAAAGGTCGAGTCCGCTGAGTTGCGAGAGGATAGTGATTGTGAAGACCTTTTTCGCTCGGGTCACGATAAAGCTGATCAGATTATCCAACAACTCTGGCTCGATTGGTATATCGCTGAGCTCTTCCCTGATGGAAAAAGGAGTGATGAGTCGCTCGACTGAGCCTTCAGGGAAGTACTTTTGCTCCCGGTCGGTGCTAATCTTGCTTCTGACATAGCTCGCAACGATGCAATCAGCGAGTGGTATCTCACTCTCCGTCGCCGTTATTGATCCGTCAGACATGTTCGTTCCGCCACGCTTTGATGATGAATCCAAGATGGCTCATCATGTCCTACGATCTCAATCAAGTCCTAAAATCGTAGCCTGGTCTGAAACTCGAAGTTATTGTGGGGGGCATTGGAGGATGCACGAATGAGGGCTTCAGGTAACCAGGCACAAGGACAGGGTAAGCAATATCACCCCGCACGCTAGACCTGGTCGAGTCGTCAGCTGGAGCCTCGTCGACTGTTTGGGAGATGCCGTTAACCGTATTGGCTTGGCATGGTTGAGGTTTACTGTACATCTCTTTGACAGCACAGAGACGGCTAGAACCTTCACTTGTGTTAGTGTCGTGTTATTCCGTTGGCCCCTCTAAAGGCTCGTTGTTCTCATCGAGTCTGTTGAGTATGGAGGTATCCATCCCATCGCACAGAGGGATGCGCGCAGTAAGGCCAGATCAATGTGACACCGAAGCCTCACCAGTGTCTGATAGTGTTCTAACAGTAAGGTAAGCCAGAGTTGATCAACGTCTTAACAAAAGACTCTATATAGGTCAACATCACTATTGATATTATGTTAAGGAAAACTCAGCCGTAGAAAGCGCACCATATTTCCTACGGCTCAGTCACCTTGTTTTCTTTGAGCATGTGACGTCATGCAACCCTTGAAGTATTGGCCCTACCCTAGAGGCTCCAGCTGATGAGGTGTGTTTGGGTTTGAGTCGTACCAGTAGAACAGGACGAGGTAATTACGGCGAAAGCACAGAATGGAGCGGGGTGCGAGATGATGGCTGTGCAGAGATGGTGGTGAGACGGTGAGGGAGAAAGTGACGAGCCGGGCTATTGAGATCTTCCACAGTAGTTTACTGCCCAACGGGTGGCTCAATAGTATGGAACGGGTGCCGGGTGTAGTGGCTATGCTTGTAAAGTGTATGATGAACTCTTGGTTGGCCAACATCTGGGTGTGAATGCCTGCTGCCTAATAGGTAGCTCAAACAAGTTGTAGGAGGGACGAGATGGACTGATTGAAACTAGAAATATAGGTATCGCTAAGAGAGGGAAGGAAATCAACCCGAGAAACAACCACGGTGAGTGCCACGTCACCGAGAACGCCGCCATACATGCACATTTTGATACCTTCCACAAGCCACACCTGCCTGAAACTGGAAAAAACTCACATCTTCCCCCTGTATTCATCTTTTGACATGCACGGCGTGGAGGAGGGTGGCTGTGCTCCACCGCACTTCGCCCCTGTCAGCAGCCGACCTTGGATGTCCAGGCCTGTGTCAGACAGCCAACGTTCAATACTGCTATTATAGTCCTGGGGCGAAAATAAGCAGCTTGAAGACTGACACGTGTTTCTGGGTTGGTTAGCTCGTGAGGACAATGAGGAGACAACCTGGACAAACCTCTGTGTTGATGTTGATTGGGGCATGATTGGAACGGAACAATGTGGCGTTTCTGGCCTTGTTTGATTGTTGGAGTGTCCGTAAAAAAGAGGGGGATTTGAAAGCAGAATTACATCCGAAATCGAGGACGAAGAATCGTGTTTTATCGTCGAGTGATTTGACTCACTTGCGCTGGCATTCCGCCGCCGTGTAGACATGAGTCCGCATTTGTGGACATGACCGCAATTGTGGACAGACAGGATGCTTGAACGGCATCTGTCTGGATTTGCGGCCTTGACAGGGGAACCCCTGGCTCTAGAGTTGGCACTTGCGTACTCCGTAGACGCACGAAATCTGGGGTTTCTTTGTCATCGGCAATCTCGCTGCAACCTTTGTTTTGAACAACGGATCCTGTCAAGTCTTTCGTTTAGACGGTGGCTCTCTCGCTTGTCAACTCTCGCGAGTGCCATAGTGGAGGCGCAGCCTATCCGTCAACATGTCATTAATCGGGTAGCTAGAACGGCCCGCCCCGTGGTCTCCAACTGACGGGTCATCGGTTACCAGTGCTGGACAAGCCAAGGTTAAATTTTAGCGGCTTTTGCTCAGCTTCCTCCCACCCTCCAAGCCTCAATTCAAGATGCCTTGCAGCGGTAAAATGGGGTGATTTGGCGCATCTGACATGGCTTACGAGACTCCTCATCCAATCGGCCCCCAACGATTTGATGTTCGCGCAGTAGAGATCCGATAATTGGTGCTAGATTCGCCCATGTCCAAAATTGCGGACTCTGGGGCGAAGGCAGCAGCACTTGATATCGGTATTAGCAAACTACAATCGGCCGCGCAGATCAACTTTGAAACAAGTCATTCACAATCTCGGACTGCCTTGGCCGTTTTTTCTATTCTTCATAGAAATCACAACACCGCAGATGTGGACACAGCTGAGCCGCCTCGTTGCCTCAATGATAAAAAGGGAGGCAATTAGACCGCCCGGTCACTCAAATATCGAACCCCAAAGCACTTGTCCTTCACTGCGCCTGCTAGCTTTCCTCGATATATTCTAATCTAGCTCTTCATTGCTTTGAGGCTTTGGAAACTGTTGGCATCATGTGCACCGAACTCCCCTCCAAGCTGCAACACTCTCCTCCTACTCGTCTTTGCGACTTGATCACGCATCCTCTTGATGCGTTTGCCAACGTCATCCGTCAACTCGTTAATTACTTCAAGTCAAAACCGAACAAAACTCCTGTGGCTGAAGTATCGGATCAGCCATCGGGTTGTCACTCCACCTTTAGCGGGAACGAGGATGTTACCGTCACCACATATGCGCTGCCATCCGGCCAGGCTGCGACATGTCTCACCCTAGACTGCACTCCACAAAGTGCCCTGACCAGATATATCAAGGCTTTGGGCTTGATCATCTGTCAAGATTTCATTTTGAGACTTCTCGCCATCACCGTTCTTCTCCGCAAACTCCCTTTCTTCCATCCCCTCCTCGTCTTCCTACCGAGGCTGTGCGATTTTGCTCACGGCCATTTCAGGACTTGCCCTCAGACTGGACAGTCTTCAACCCCCTCATCGCGTTCACACCGCGGCGGCGGCGAAAAGCGGCAAGACAAGAAGGGCAAGCAACGCCAAAGGGGAGATGGCAACGGAGACGACCCTAGCGAGGAAGGAAACGACGGCAGTAAGAAGCCAGACGGCCTTCGATTCCCACAATTTGACCCCGAGGTCAAGCTGTTTGACTGCCCTTTCCACAAGTACGACCCCGTCCGGTATCAAAGCTGCAGGGGATACTCACGCTTCTGCGACCTTAAGCAGCACATTGAGCGACAGCACGTTCTAGGAGAAGGCAAATACCATTGTGCAATCTGTCGAATCGAGTTTTTTCAAGGCAAAAACCCAGAGGCGTCACGGGATCGGTCCTGTCACGGTTGATCCAGACCCCTCGTTGTCCTGACCACGTCCAAGCCTGGTCTCACCAATAGGCAGCACTATTGGGCCGTAAAGGTTGATGGATGCCTTTTTGAATCCTTGTACGGCTCTCAGTCTTGGCTGTCAAGTTTATATGAGGGTATGGGGTGGTTGGGCTTTTGTTCTCTACTTATGGGATACGACTTTATGAGGATGGGTATGGAACATGTCATTGTCATGCAACATGTTATGCAACGTGGCCTATGACAAAGCTTGCGGGGTTTACTATTGCTATGTTTTTAATGTTTTACGCTAGGAAAGAGAATATGGTGAGCTGCTCACTCTTGAAGACTATCTGCTTGTTGTCGTGGACGGGGTGGCCGTTCCCACGAGGCTGGCTCAAAGTTCGAATACAGTCTGTACATCAAAGCCCACCTCCCTTATCACCGTGATTCAGCCGTTATACGCCATGCTATACTGGCAGCCTAGAAATGTCATATGAAATCTACTTTCTACCTAAAATATTGCCTAACCTTGTATCAACCACCCGTCTGTTTCTGAGGCCTGTCAGACACTCTTCTCTGCTACGTTGCAAGTTTGTCTTGAAGGGAATACATACCTCTTCTCGCGATATTTCCACGAGTACGTTCCCTACTCATATTGTTACAGACGATCTAGCAGGCGCCAACGGACGAACAACCCCCAATTATGTCCGCCAACAAATCTTCTTGTACCAAGTCACATAACGCATCCAGCGCTTTCTCCTCGTCATCATCATGGTAGATAATTGAGCCTCGATCACTCAGAAAGTCTGACACGCATCGCCACCCATAAAGGCTCCAAAAGTCTCTGGCCATGGAAACTTCTAGCCCCAGGCCTTGGTCGAGGTATGGTGAGCGAGGTGGTTGTGAAGGGAAGACGGTTGTCCATATCCGTCGCCAGCGCTTTTTCTCATCAAAGTGCCATCTGTCTTTCTTCCATAGCCTAGATATCTGATATTGATCAATTCCGTCCATGGGCTTTGGATCTAGCAGGTCGCATTTGTCATCTAGGATGTGTCTGTCACGACTGATCGGTGTGTCAAAAGTCTCAGAGCATCTCGCGCAGTAAAGGGGCTTGATGTGGTGGCGTGTGAGATGGTCGATGAGTCCCTCGATAGGCTGTTGGTTGTAGAGGAGGAGACACTGCTTGTGTTTTACCGGGTCGGAGACATAAAAGGGGCAGGCATGGTGAAAGTGTCGCCTCATCTTGGGTGGGCGACAAAGTACTACCAGCTCTGTATCGCTGGGATCTTGATATTCCTCGAAACAGAGGGGCTCAAGTTGCCACTTTGACATTCTAGACCGTGTTCGGGGTGATGTGTCATATTGTACACGAGAGCTGAACTCCTTGAGTTGTATCTGTGCCAATTGTAGGAGTTCCGATCTGAGTCGCTGCCACTCGTGTTCTTCAGGCAGACTATACTCTTCAGCCCGATCTTCATCTTCAGAATCGCTATCACTGTCGCTGATTGACGAAGAAGAGTCGCTTTCATCCCCCGAAGACAATGAAGGAATTGTAGCGGATGGCCAAGTACGGACAGGGGATGTAATGTGACTGAACTGTGACAATGGGTGTGTGGTAGACCTTGCCAATCGGCGTGATGTCGGTTCACGCGTTGAAGAAGTCCTTATTGCAACTTGAGCGAATCTGTTGCTTCTCTTGGGGAGGTTTTGACTGGGTGATGCTGAGCGTGGAGAGTGAAGAAGTGTTTGGCGTGCCATGATTGGGTTGTTTCAAGAGCTTTTCTCTTTGGGGGGAGGGAGAATCGACAGAGACTTTCATGCCTCCATGACCGCAATAACACTGGGACACTGGGGAGCATCTACTCTATGTACATCGCGATGAGGCTCTTCTCCCACTTCGCCCAGAATACGTTTGAGGCAAGGCAACAGCTCCAAGTTCGCCATCAGGCGGCTTACTTTGCAGCTGTGAGAGTTGACTCTTTTGCAGCCATGAGTGGGGGGTCGGAGCCAATAAGCGTCAAGACAAGTCCGCAAATTCGGAAGGCTTCTTTCCAGGCTTCGCCAATCAAGATTCAGCAAATGCCTGTTTTCGACGCAATCGCGGAATTTCCAGCTGAGGCACACCAAGCGTTGGCTAGGCAAGCCCAAATGAGAGGCCACCTACTTATGGATAATAGCTGTTCAATCGAAACATCAGTTTCAAGCCCTGTCAAGACATTGGATGCTGCTGTGGAAGCCACCATCGGGCGACCAGTTAACTGGTGATGGCATGTTCACCACGGATGTGTGTAACTGTATCACCTTGTCGGGCGGCCCCAACAGGGAGATTACACCAAAATTCGTGTAATGGATGTTAGCCGCTTATTGCCTTCCTTCCAACACGTGTCCATGAAGACTTATTTTCAACCGGTGAAGAGTCAAAGGACGTAATCTTTTGGCATAGTTGGGAAGATGGCTCATGCTAGGCTTGTGACCGGGCAAACTAGTTCGCCCAGCAAGAAGCCGTTGAGTGAGTAGCAAGCAAGATTGTGAGACACAATGTCTCTATGTGATCCGAAATATTCAATTCACAAACAGTGTGATTCCGTTTCATTAAACATTACTGGAGCCGACTTCAAACTGTCTAGGCGAAATCCCCAGCCTCCGCCCGCGATCTCCTATTTTCATCCCTTCCGTGATGCATCTGGATCGTCGTGTTGACTGTGATTCCTGCCTTGTCTGTCCTATCGATCGGCCGACCCGCTGTCTCCTTGACTAGTTCATCCTGCGAGTCGTTGTCTCGGTTACTTGTCCCCCCGACGACATTGGTTGTAATGCGGCTTTGCTGTGTTCGTCTACTGCGGTTTGCGCCCGCTGATGAGAGCTCGTAATGTCCGTAGTTGGAACCGGTTCCGGCGGAGGACATGTGTCCGAGGAAAAGAGTGCGAAGCGCTGTGTCCAAGTTATTATCAGCTACACTGGAGGTAATTCTGGAAGAGGAAGAGAGGACGTACGTGGAAGGCATGTGGCGATGATTGCAACAGCCGTCTCAATCATGGAGACAGTGCACGTCAACATGGTCTCGTTTCGTTTCGAATAGTATGCTCGAATAACTGCGCAGGTCAGGCCCTGCGATGTGAGGGTTAGGGACTATACTTACTGCTTGCAATCACGACAAAGAAGCCGAGCGCAAAGATGGCTGCAACGCCAAGCTTCTGCTTCATCTTCATTTGAAGCTGGAGGACCATGGAGATGGGCAGACTAATGACTAGTGGGTGTTAGATGGAGACGGCAGCTGCGATAACTTGACTACTCACTGGCAACATCAGTGCCGATATTCACTAGGGAAATGTCAGTACACCGCCGCGACAGATGCTACAAGGGATTGAACTCACGGATAATCGTCAACCAGTAGTTGATCTCAGCGTTGTGCGGATCGCACTGATCTGTAAGTTGTCAGCATCGCACCGCTGTCGTTCAGATGTATTATGCGTACAGTCGGGATCTTGTGACCATCTCTTGTCGTGCGGGAAGCATTGAAAGATGATGTGAAAGAAGATGACGGTCCAAAACACGACCAAGAGGCCGAGCGCGACATTGTAAATAATCTGCAACTTCGTTCCTGGCGCGGCGAGTCGCTTGTAGAATAGGACTAGGGCGATCTTGATGGCCCATAGCGAAGACACGTAAAGGATCGATCCGGGAACAATCATCTTCACAACGAGTCAGATGCCATTGTCTGTCGAAAATTGTTCCAAGGGGATAATGAATACCTTCATAATCTGTATAAAGTTCTCCCTGCTCGCCTTTGGAATCTCAGCCATGCCCAGATTCCACATATGCTGCTGTATAACCAAGTCTCCGATGAGACAACATGTTGCCAGTATAATGAGCCCGTCGTCGACCGCCAGTGACCCAAACTTTCGAAATCGGATCCACAACCGGGCGGCCAGGAAGAGACAGGCGACCACGGTGCAGATATACCACGATATCTAGCGAAGACGATCAATACCCTAGGGATCAGCGACGGGGAACAGACTGCACAGCACATACCACTTGACCGAGACCCTCTGCCATTGCGACTCAAGATGTGCAAGTGAACCAACACGCGGAGAGGCCGGTGGAGGGGGTCCCGGGTCTTATTCCTTCGATCTGCAGGTCAGTCGCCGTTTTCCGTCTTGCCTGTGTTTTAACCCTGGGCCCCTGACCTTCCATGCCGCAGACCGAGAGGTACAGGGATCGTGCATTAGCTGACCAAGTTCTCGGTGTTTAGGGAAGGCCGTCAGCTGTGCGTGTATATGCACTTGAGTTATTACGTGAAAAGGACGGCGTAGTTTCGGTGCATCTTGGCTTGGCTCCACGCTGTGAGTTAATGGAGGCGAGACTCAGGCAATGGTACGATTGTGATAAAGACCGTATTATGGCCATGGCTGCTGCTTATGCCCCTAAGCGTTCATCCACCGCAGCATCCCGAGGCAAGCCATGGATATTTTTCTGCAAAAGATGGTGAAATCCAGGAACAGCCATGCTTCTGATGAACGTCTCCAAGGGTCCTGAACTCTAAATTGTGGTGATTCTGCATAACGATCCACCCTCTAGTTTTTATCGGTCCTTGGTCTTCCCATTTTGGAGATTTGTCTGTCGATCATTTTGACATCGAGTCAAGGTACTCACATTATTGGTAAGGCTTGTAATGACTCGAGGTAGAGGTACTTGATGGCGAAATAGAATGGTATCTTGAGGAAAATCCCTCGCCCTGGACATGAGATCTGTCGCTTTGATGACCAATGTCTCGTTCAGCATATCTCGAGAGTAGCGACTTGATAGCTTCGCGAAGAGTCAATGCATCGGAGCCAAGAAGTATCCCCGGCTGTAAGCGTCCATCTCGAATACTCCATGGAATCAACACACAAACCGTCAGGGTGATATTTCAGCTCATCCGGCCGTTCCGACGTCTTCCCGAAGTCTTGCCATTCAAGCTAGAGACGCAGGGGCTTCTTGACACTGCCCTGCCTAGTTAGGAAGCTATCCCACTAGAGTGGCTGGGATCTTTACCTGGCAGAGTCATGACCCATGCCTCAACTTGTTGATTATCTCCGACTACCAGACGTCAAAGCGTACCATGATTGCCTGAGCTGAGCATTCCGTGCAGCGAGGCGGGTAGCATTTGCCCATTAGCTCTGCCGAGGAACATCCCGGCCGTTCATGGTTCTCTCCACTTTCTGGAACCCTTGATATCTCTGCATCCAGTTAGAGGCTCCTGCACCGCCCGCTCCTCGGGGATATTGCCCTTTCATATGGGGAGTTTCCATTATTAAAAAGTCTGAGCCTGCTTGCTGCTGAAAAAAACATTCCATGTGAAGGAGGAGTCGATCTTGTCCCTTTCTGCATCTCAGGTTTCAGCCACCAGCGACCAGTGCATCATGATGGGACTCGTCAATGTGATCACGACCACTACAGGTCTAGCTCTGGCTGCCTCGTGCCTCGTTTCTGGAACAGCGGCCGCTGCTTGTCCTCCTAGTCGCCCGCAGGTGCCCAGCGCTGTTATTCCGCAGGGCACGATTAAGGGGTTCCAAGACGAGCATTGCAACTCTGTCTTCCTGGGCATCCCTTTCGCTGCGACCACAGGTGGAGACAACCGGTAAGTCTATAGTATCCTGATACTCAACGCCACCCTCACCTGTCCATCATGCTGACGATTGATTAGATGGCGTGCGCCTCAGGATCTCCCCAACTCCAAGTCCACTTTCAAGGCTCTCTCGTATGGTCCGACATGTCCCCAGGCCATCTCCAACGATCTCTTCGCCCAACAGGATGAGGACTGCCTGAACCTCAACATCTGGGCGCCCTCCAAGGGCAAGAACCTGCCCGTAAGTGCTGACGGTGAACAACCTGTCACGTCTAAGCTGATCGATTACATAGGTCTTTGTCTACATGTACGGTGGTGCCATGGTCACAGGATCCAACAGCAACCCCCAGATCCAAGGCACCAACTTTGCTCGCAATGGCGTCGTCTATGTCAACTTCAACACCCGCGAGAGCATCTTCGCCTCGCCTAACTCTGCAGAGTTGAAGAAGAGCAACCCCGATGAGTCGCAGAACTTCAGCATCTTGGATGTGGAAAAGGCCCTGGACTGGATTCGCAAGAACATTCGCGGTAAGGAGATACGTCCGTCTGGATGAATACTTTGGCTAACATGACAAAGCTTTCGGTGGTAACCCCGATCACATCGTCTTTGGTGGTCATTCCTCCGGCGCCGTCCAAGTCGACCACTACCTCTGGAACCATCCCAACACCTTCCTCAAGGGTGCTGTCGAGATGAGCGCCAATGCCGTCTCGGGACCTGCTTATGCTCCCGTCAACCAAGCCCTCGATGCCGTTGCCGAGGAGGTCGGTTGCCCCAAGGGCAATGGTCAACTCGAGTGTCTTCGTGACGTCAACGTCTACGACTTCCAGACCGCCAACTTCAACTCGACCTTCAACACGTGGTTCACTCCCGTGATTGATGATATCACCCGTCACTCCAACTATGCTAAGCGCTTCTCGGCTGGACGATATGCTTCAAATGTTCCCCTGCTCACTGGCACTTCCAACGGAGAGGGAACCATTTTCAGCCTTGTTTACGGCGCTGAGAACGGCAACTTCAGCTCTTGGATCAACACCTTTGACGCTGACAGCGCTCATATTCCTGAAAATTTGCTCATCAACGCATACAAAGCCTCGGATTACGCGAGCGAGTCCCTCCGTAGCGGTGCTCAGTACGGCGACGCTCGCTTCAACTGCCCTGTCGACTACTTCCTCGATGTTCGAAGCAAGAGACAGGACACCTGGGTCTACCGTTTCTTTGGTGCTTACGATAACGTCGTCGGGCCTCCTAACACTGCGCCTACTCATGGAACCGAGGTCCCCTTCTTCCATGGCGGAAACGAGTGCTTCGATTCTCTTCAGGGCGTCACCGACGCTCAGCAGGCTTTGGCCGATTCTATCCACAAGTGGTTTGTTGCCTGGATCAAGAACCCTGCTGCTGGACCTGGTTGGAACAAGGTCTCTCAGTCGGGCGAGTTGGTCAAGCTTGGCGTTCCTGGTGACGAGCTTTCTCTGCTCAAGGCTTCGAGAGGGCAGTTCAACGGTGTCTGCCAATCTGTGAGTGCCTCGACTGTTTTTGATTACACCACACTGACAGCATATTAGGTCTACAACCCTCGTTTCCCCCAGTACCCCGTGGTTCAGTCTGTCACAGCCCTCGTGCAGAAGCTGCTCGGAGACCTCCTAGGATAGATGTAGTATAGTGTAGACCCTTCTATTAATGTAACCTTGGGGTGGTGAGATATCTTGCGGATACCTGCCATCGCCAAACGATACCTCATCTCTTGCTGTGACTGCTTTTGGAGGTGGTTTTCCCCCATTAGATGATGCCAGGTAAGCTTAGGGTATGTAGCGCACATCGTAGTAAAACGAAAAAAGAATGCATACTTGACAATGTTGGAGTGTGGAATTCCCTATCTAGTTCGTTTTTATGCACCACAAAAGGCGCTATGGTTGCCAGTTCATCACACGTTTCAGTAAACTCCCTGTCCGAACAAAATCCTGGTTCCAGTTTCTCGCATCTGACAAGTCATATTCGGGCAGCACAAGGTTTCTGTGCCAGCAGCGAAACTGGGCCCCAGTTGTACACCAAACCGTCAGTCCGCAAGGTGATTAGATCGTCCAGCCCTTTCTCACAAGTCTGCAACAAAGTGTGATCTGTGCAAGAGCCAGTCCTCTTGATACCGGTAAGAATTTCCCTCAGAGCCATTAGGTATGTATTAGTACCAATCTAAATCAGCCCGGATGCGAAAGGGTGCTCTTTGTGCTCGACAATGGTCATACCACTGGACGATAGAGAAGAGCAGAGATGAGTGACCCAGCTATGTTGAAGTTCAGTAGTCAGTATCTCAACCGAATGTCGCCTAGTGGAAAGTACCTGTAGTCGAGGCCTGCGGATACGAAAAGCTTGTTGACTAGGGCCTCAAATTCCTTCCCTGCCAAACCTCGCACATCTTGATTTAGAAGATTTGCCTCCTCCCACTGGATGTATCCCTCAGCTTCTAAAAGTTTAAGTTGCTTAGCTTTCCCCTTGAGTGATGATAAATTTGCTGTTTCAAACTTACTGAGCAACTTGGAAGCGCTGTAAATCACAAGCTTCACATCCCTAGTTCTAAGGTTACTTGCCCACATGCGCAGGTGCACGACATCATACTTCCCGTGTAAAGTTTCGGGTGGGTCACGAAGAGAATCCATCAGGCTGAGCTTGATGTTGGAAGTCCATAGCTTCTCAGAGGGGAATTGGCGAGGAGAGATGTCGTATCCGTGGAGACAGACAGTGTCAGGGAGGTCTTGTGCCAAGTCAAACAGCCAAATGCTAAGAAGTCCTCTTAGCCGGTGATTCCTTAGCTTCCAAGTGCACCTACCCTGTGCCAGTCCCGACTTCGGCTATTTTCATATGGTCTGACTTGGGGATCGCAGGATGCAACGTGTATCTGTTGTGAAGCTTCCACAACAGATGTTGGGCATCAAGCCTGTGTATGATTCGTTTTCTTCCGGTATCGTTTCGGTTAGAATGAGTAGCCGTACCTGATTGAGTCGGAGATATCTCGACCCAGGACGTAGTAATCATCACCCTGGCAATGGCCCATTTTGTAGCCTCGAACACTTTGTACTGGAAGAAATGCTTGTTGATCTTGAAGTTTTTGGTGTCACGTATGCCACGTGAACAATTTTTCTAAGACATTTCAGCGCCTCATGACGTCGGATCTAGATGGTGACAGTAAGCCTACAGCAAACACTTCACTGCAATCCATCCGGCCTCAAACTGACGAGTCTCGAAATTTCTTAAGTCTGGGACGATTGATATTTCTTTGTAAACTTAGTGGCAATTTCAGAAGAAGCCATGGACCATGATAACAAAGATTACGTTTATTGAGATTTGAGGGCAACTAACGTTGTACTACTCTTGACCATATATATCTCCTTGCTTGCGCGAGGACTGCTAGAGCATTTTGATCCCTACTACCTATTAGAGCACTATCTAAGCCTCTATACAAATGATATAATTATATATTAATCCCTTATTTATATTTTAATAAGCCTTGGAAGAGGCTAAACATTACTGGTCTAGATCCCAGCTCGGTATATAATGGCAGTCCTCGCGCAAGCATGGAGATTGCCCTGCAGGTATGCATCTGTCCACTACAGATCTGGGGATGGAGGGACCGGGATGTCTCGGATGACTCGAGCGTTGATCTGTTTATCATTACCTGTGCTCGAAGGAAGCCAAGCACTGTGATGTCAAGACTCAAGCTCGCCGGCCAACGGCATAGCGTGCTTTAGGAATTTCCAAGGCCATAAAAGAGCAGTCCAGAAAGAGCCAAGACTCAAGATACAAAGGCCTTATATGCATAAGAATATGAGTTAAAACAACACACATTGCCCTTCGACACTTTGAACTAAATCTAGGTATTGTGAGATTGACCGCCTAGGTTGTTGAGATTAGTTTGACGCAAGTTCAACCATTTACTATGTCTGGGCGATGATGCCGCCAGAGGTTGCCCACCGTCTTCTCTGGAATGGTGAGTTATGGCTTCGTTCAGTGGCGCTGCCAACAAAGAATAAGGATTCACCCAAGGAAGTGAGACATCTCATACTGACCTGGCTTTCAAGCGATTCGTTGTATCTTCTTGTTGAGGTCTTTTCTATTCTTTTCTCTTAAAGATTGCGGAGTTAGATCCGTACATAGGTGACGAGAAAAAGAGAAGCAGCACAATCGGGCTTGTCAAAAGTCTTGATAACTAGAGAAATCTTTTCTTCCTTGCACCGATACCAATATGCAATTACAAATGTGCCTTTTTGAGCCTTGCCGGGGCAATAGCTATGGCGTGCTTAAAGGAGCTACATCCTTGCAATAGAAGGCTTCCAGAAGCGTTGCACATCTTTTCCAGAAAAGTCACAAGTTTTGCTCACCTCAAAATATCTTCAATATAGCTGATAGATACTATAGAGAAGGCTGGTAGCATGATTCCGACCTCTGAAGAGATGCACTGATCGATCAGAACTCGTGACCTCAGCTCTTTCATGCGACCCAATCGCTTTGTTGAAAGGCTGGAGCGTTCCCTACAAATCCTACGGTATCATTATCGTCCTGCAAGAACACGTTCATCATGCAGAAAAGTAGGCCCCTTACTAGTTTCATAGTCACGAGGAAACTGTAGCAACGACGGTCTAACTACCCATTGGCCACCCTGGCCAAACCGTGGACGCCTCCTCACGCCATCTCATGGAAAGGCCCGAGTAGATGTAACGCTGGAGAATGTCCAACCAATTGTTACAAATTTTGTGTAGCAGTAGAGACGATCTTGCAACGTAAAACATGTCGACAGGACCAGGTCCTGGTTGGAGCGGCTATAGAGCGGTCACACCTAAACCTAACCCCGGATTTCCCCCAGCTTTTGAGTGGATGTCCCTCCGGGAGGCCAGAACGTGGACTATGCGGGACCTATGTGAACACGGAAGCCACCCGGGGTAGTTTTGAACCTCTACGCACAGGGGGCACGGTTCTGTATAAGAAAGACTCATATCCACTGCGTCGTGTCTCGGCATCATCTTGGACCCTGTGCTCATATGCCAAGATCAATCAGCTACAGATCATCGCCATGACCAAAGACTATTTTGCGTCTTTTCCTAAGATCTACAATGTCCACTTCATTGCCATTATCGCCACGTGCGGCGGTATGCTGTATGTCAGCCCGTTGGTGCTGGACTGGTGTCGCTGCTACTAATGCGTCATGCTCAGCTTCGGCTTTGATATCTCGTCCATCTCTGCAATCGTCGTGAGCAAACAATACATCGAGTACTTTCATAATCCGGCTGGTGCCCTTCAAGGAGCTATAGGCTCGGGCATGTCGGCTGGTTCCGTCGTCGGTTCTGCCCTCTGCGGTGTCATCTCTGATAATCTCGGTCGTCGTGATTCCATCTTCTTTGCAAGCTTCTTCTGGCTTATTGGTACCGCCGTTCAAGTCGCCACAAACAGCAGCGGTATGCTCATTGCTGGACGTGTGCTCAATGGGTTCACCGTCGGCATCACCTCGTCCCAAGTCCCCGTGTATCTTGCCGAGATTGCCAAAGCGGAGAGTCGTGGTTCCATCATCATCATCCAACAGCTAGCCGTCGAGTTCGGCATCCTAATCATGTATTTCCTTGGTTATGGATGCACCTTCATCGAAGGGCCTGCTTCGTTCCGTGCCGCCTGGGCAATGCAGTTCATCCCTGCCGTGTTGCTCATGGCGGGTCTCCCGTTTCTTCCCCGCTCGCCTCGCTGGCTTGTCAAGGTTGGCCAAGAGAAGGAGGCTGTCAACACTCTAGCTCGGATCCACGCCAAGGGGGACACCAATGATCCTCTTGTTATCGCCGAATGGGAAGAGATTGTCACCACAATGCAAGCTGAACGAGAAGCTGCTCCGGGCTGGCGCAAGTTCGTCCTCCGAGGTATGTGGAAGCGAACTCTCGCTGGATTTTCCGTTCAGGCATGGCAGCAGCTCGCAGGGGCAAATACGATTGTTTGTAAGTTCACAGGCCTTTCCTTGGTCTTCTTGTGGAACGAGGGATTCACGGCGCCTTCGTCTCTAAGTTGATGGTCCCGCTTCCGGGCTCCCCTGCCATCCTTATCCGAACCACCATCAGCCTCAAGGCTCCAAAGTGCTTAGGATGATCATATTGACTTGAGAACATGATAGACCTACTGACAAATGTCTTAGACTATCTTACGTATATCGCTCAGATGGCAGGTTTGACCGGCAACGTCGCTATGATCACGTCTGGAATCCAATATGCCATCTTCATCGTCTTTACCGGCTTGATCACGCCTTTCGTCGACAATTTCGGTCGTCGCACGTTGCTTATTTACGGAGCACTGGGAATGGGCCTCTGCCACTTTGTTGTTGGAGGTACCATGGCCACGCACTACATATCTGTCCCAGAAGGTGTCGGTGACCCTCCAAACCACAACATCATCTTCAAGGTCAGCTCAGGCTCCCCGGCCAACGCTGTCATTGTATTCTCTTATTTCCTCATTGTTGTTTACGCCCTCACTCTTGCACCCGTCTGTTGGATCTACGCTGCTGAAGTCTGGTCACTGGGAACCCGAGCAACCGGCATGGGTATCGCTGCTCTGGGTAACTGGCTCTTCAACTTTGCCTTAAACATGTTTCTCCCACCGGCATTCATCAACATCAAGTGGAGCATCTTCATCGTCTTTGGCGTCCTTTGCGTGGGTGCCGCCGGGTGGTTCTTCCTCCTCTACCCCGAAACCTGCGGCAAGACCATTGAAGAAATCGAGATCATGTTTAGTAAGGATGGTCCTCGACCCTGGCAGACTCGGAAGGGCGAATCGAGTCTTCATAAGAAGGTTGAAGCTATCAGGAACAGGAAGAATCAGGAAGGCGATGGCGTGATGGGTGGTGATGAGGCCGACGTCGCTGAAAAAGCCTAGGCTGATATCACATTTTGGCGCGCAAGAATGAGTTTCCTTCTATCCAGTTTGTTCTGTACCACAGTCGGGAGATAGTAATGACAGTTCTGTTGCCCATTTCCTTAGCGTTTCTGTTGCTTACGCCCCCCATTTCCAATCTCACCGTCGTGAATCGCGTAATGATGACAGGGATAGCTAGTAAAACATTCGAAGCGGGGCTTCTCAGGCTGAGGCATTTAGTCCATCCAGGCTACTTTCCTTCAGCTTGCGAGTCGCGGAAAGAGAAACGCCCAATACGCTATGCATGGCATGACCGCTGTCTTCACACCTCCTGTGCCCTCCCCAACCTCTCAAACCGCAGAACGAAGCCAGAGACGGGTCGCTACCTCTAGTACTCACCCGCACGCTTCAACATGGCGCCACCAATCCGAAACCTGGTCACAAAGAACATCAACAATCACCAAGCCATCACAGTTTTCGAGAAGGCTTTCAAGGACCGCGATGGCGAGCATTCGGGTCACAGCGCTGAAGTGGAGGCGATGATACGCGACTGGGGAGAAATCCGACGGAACCATGGCAAGAGAAATCTGGATCAGCTGGATGACACCATCAAGAGTGACAAGAGGGATGTTGATGGCATGACAGATGAGCAGCTGAGCCAAATCAGCATTTGGATCCATCAAAACGGGGAAGCAAACAAGTCAGAGACCGAGCCCAGCACTTCCGACGTGACTCAGTTCAACAAGTACAAACACCATCAATATGTCCGACGCTGGGGACTATTTTCTGATGCGGAGGGCATCAATGAAGAGTGGTTCATCCCTAACCCCCCAGTCCTTCTAGAGGACAATCAAAATTATCTTTGCGACATGTGTCGACATATCGATTTCAAGGTCTTGCTATCAAAGCGGGGTCTCCCAGGGAACCAACAGCCAGGACGAACTAGCATATTATTACTCGGACTATCAAACATTCTGAATGAGGAAACATCATGCGCTTTCTGCCGATTGATGCGTCGAAAGATCACGGAGGACAAGCTGTTGGAGAGTGTGCCTGAAGAGGAGCTCGAATCAATGAGCTTTCAGCTCAATGTTCTCGACGACGGTCCGTCATATGCGCTCCGCTTAGAAGTTGAGATTCTCAATGAAACTCGAAGGGAAAATCCACGGTTCATTTTGCACAGAATGGCTGAGCAGGATGACCCTCCATGGCCACTTCAGGGGCTAGTCGTGCATCAGCATGTTGCCGATATGACACGGCTGAAGAATTGGCTACACACTTGTGATGAGACTCACGGTATGAAAGGGGATGAGCAAGAGAAGCTCATCTCTCCCTTGATGGGAGTTTTGAGACTTGTCGACACGGCCGACAACTGTATCCGAGAAGTGGAAGTGCCCTGCGAATACTCTTGTCTCTCATACGTGTGGGGAAAGGGAAGTCATACGCAATACACAACAGACACCAAGGTGGGCTTGGAAACTCCAGGCAGCTTAACTGATACTACATCCAACCTACCACAGACCATCTTGGACGCAATGAGGGTAACGCGAGAGGTTGGCCTCCGCTACATCTGGATCGATGCCCTCTGCATCATCCAAGACGACGATCAAGACAAGGCTCAAATCATATCCAAGATGGGAACTATTTACGAAAATGCATCATTTACAATCATGGCTTCAACAAACTCCGACCCCACAGGCGGACTTCCGGGAGTCAGCGTGCCTCGCTCTCGGGCCCAGATTATGGCGAAGATACGGGGAATGCCACTTGGAGTCGCGTTGTATGATGGCCGACTACGACATTCAGAGATTGAAGATGGCCTCTGGAACTCAAGAGCATGGACATTCCAGGAAAGAGCCCTTTCTCGGAAGGCCGTCTTCTTTACAGCGTCTCAAATGTGCTTTGTATGCCCACATGGAGCTGCATTTGAAGACACGGTCGCAGTCCCAGATCCCGATTACAAGCCTACACCGCTGAATAACGCATCTCAGCTAAGCTCTAAGGTCCCTCGACTTCAGGATATCTGGATGCGCGTATGGTGTGATCGTACGCAGTTGAGGCATACCAACAAAGCTTTCGAGACAGATGACGGTATCACAATCATGGTGGGAGAAGAGCTTACGCCAGCTCAAGCTTCCGTTACAGAGGCGGTTCTATACAGGCACAAGATTATTCCGAGCAAAGAGTCCCTAGATGCGCCTATGATTGATGGATTTACGCTCTGGGAAAGGTACATTCAGAGTGTCAATGTTTACACAATGCGTAACATGACGTGGCAGTCGGACGCCGTCAACGCGTTTGTAGGTATCGCTGACCTGATACGGCGAGGAGCCAACACCAAGTTTTGGTATGGCTTGCCAGAGTTTGCATTCACCCAGTCTCTTCTGTGGCAGCCCAAAGAACCACTCAAAAGGCGCGTATCTCAAGATGGTGCTCCCTTGTTTCCCAGTTGGACCTGGGCTGCCTGGCAAGGGCATGTCTCATACCGCGGCAGAGGCTGGCACAACGCCATTGGCTTTCCCCCAGCTTCCGTGGTGCGATGGCTGTATGAGTCAACTTTTGAAGAGTCTATGGAGAGGTTTACTCTCGAGGAGAGAACTGAAGAGGAGGTTCAGGAATTCACTCGTCGACTGCGTCAAGTTGGTACCATCTTGCGAGAGCCTCACCCTAGCGACTATTTCCATCTCGATTATCAAGAGCGAGGCTGGGTTTTTGAGAAGGACGAAGTTCGAAATCGGCATCTTTTCGTTCACAAGGCATATCCTGGAGTCAAGTTCAACTATCCAATCTCTCTCCCAGGTCAGCCTATCATTGATCTTCCCTCTAAGGATGGCAAACTGCGTCTCGAAGCTCGCCTGGTGTCGGCAAGTTTCTGCGATATGAGAAACTTAGAGACAGTTCAAACCCCCGTAAGTGACAACTTCCTTCAAATCGGCCTCAACGACGAGGACCGCTCGGCCAATGAGCGACGGCCATGGCAACATATCGTCTACCATCAGGGATACCGCGCCGGACTTTTAAGTCTCAACGTTCTTCACCAAGCATTAGACTTGGATTTGGCGCAATGCTCAAAGAAGGATGGTCAAGAGGGTTACTTTATTGTTTCTATTTCTCGTGACAATCTCCCCCACATCGCACCGCCGCATATTGGCTGGGACCTGTATTGGGGCGGAGATCCTCAGATGATGCAAGAGATGATTCTCAGAGACGAATGGTCTCCTAATAGAAAGCCCCCTCCGATGCCAAACGAGGACGCAGCTCCAAACGACGACAAGGCAAACGAGAATGGAGACCCTTGGTGGGATGAGGGCAGATTTGGGGGTGTGAGCCTGTTTGACGTATGCAACGTGTTGTTGCTAAGAAGGAATAAGGATGGGATTTCGGAGAGAATTGGGTCTGGGAAGATTAACTATTGTGCTTTCAGTGGCGCGAAGCCTGAGGTTGAGTTGTTGACATTGAAATAGGGGGCCCAGTGGTGCGTGGGGGAGGCGGAGGGACCAATGGCAAACTACTGCAAATAGTTCTACGTAGGGTATAGACGAATAACCCTTTGATTCATGCTCAGACTTAAAGAGTGCTGGTCTCAGTGACTACACTAGCCAACCATTCACCAAATCGTCACGACACCTGAGAGAAGGAAATCGGAGAATACTCTCCCAACAGCCTCTTCAGACACCTCAAATTCGGCTCCATTGCCTACGCCATAGAGGCATGAGACTTTACCTTCTCAGTTCCAGTTTCAGTATCACGGAACGTCTCAATATTGTAAGTACTAAACTTGCGAGCCGGCACACCCTTAGCAAACAGTAAATCAAGCTCCTCAAAGGTGCGACCCTTGGTCTCAGGGAGACGGAAGTAAATCCAGATGAACATGAAGAATGAAGTACCGCCCCAGATAAACCCGGTGTATCCCTTGAGATTCCACTCGGTTGGGTTCATAAAGTATGACTGCAAGACTCCGGAGATGATATTGGCGATGGCATAAGCATTGCGAGCAAGGCAGATCGTCTTTTGCCTGAGTCTCGTGGATCCGATTTCGGTGAGAATGGCCCAGCCAAGTTGTCCAGAGGACAGTTGGAAGACGAATGTCCAGATGAGAGCTAGCACAGCCTGGGCCATGGCAACGCTATCATTCTCCGTCTTTTTGTTGAGACCACCAATCAACATGAGGAGGATGGTCATGACGAAAATACCCCAGATAGGCAGTGCGTCTTCCGACATAGGGCATGACAAATATCCAACACATGAGGGTCGCGAATAAACCCATGCCAGTGCCACCGACGTTGAGATGGTAGGTTGTGGTTGGGTCGAGACCGATCTGCTGGAAGAAGTAGGTCGAGTTATAGGCAAAGTTAAGACCAGTAAAGATCTAACCAGCAAAAACCATACAAGCAATCTCGGTTCGTCGAAGTTCAGAACCCTTAAAGCAGTCCCAGTATGAAGCTCCGACGGAGAGCTAGTGCTCAAGATCGTTGGTGTAGATGATGAGACCGAGGGCATCGCGGAGCTCCGTCTCTGTGGCCTTGGGTCAGAGGCGGGCGAGGGACTTGAGAGCGTCTTCGTGACGCCCAACACGGACAAGATACCAAGGTATATCTAGGGCAAAAAAGATGACAGGGATCAAAACACAGGGCCAGAACCACTGAAAGCGAAAGGGATTCTGTACGCCCACTGCGTGGTATTATTGACGAGACTAGCCAAAACACCAGCTGAGATGAGGTGACCAATGATGAAGCACATATTGGCCCACTAGTCATATAGACTCTCAGGGACATGGGCAGCGCCTCAGAAGCATAAGCCGGGGCAGTCGTGGTAAGATTCCCCAAGACAAACCACAGAGGATTTCACCAACCATCAGGACGGTTTTGTTGGGTGAGAAGAGGACAATGAAGACGAAGGCGCTGAGAGACAGCAAAGCGCCAATGAGCACCTGGATATGACCGAACCGAGGAAGAAGGACGCCGTTCAAGAGAGTGCCAAAGAAGGCACCTACTGTAGCAGCATTCACAAGACTGGCTTGCCAAGCTGCATCCAGCTGGTAATTATTGTTCGCCTCATTCCAGTGACCGTACTTTTTCGCAAACGTCGGATAAGCATAAAACTTGTTGAGACGATTAGTATCATAGCCTTCCATGACTACACACATAGAGACGACCAGACACCAAAAGAGAGTCCATAGGTACTTGCGGGTGGCCTCAAGGGGTGCGAGGTTGTGTTCCGCCTCGGCACCTCCTCTGGCCTACTCTCTGATCTCTTGACCGACAGATTTCTTAACGATGCGTTCCACGTCGAGGGTTTCTCCGTGGATGGTGGTCGATATTTCTTTCGGCATGGTTAAAAAATGACTCTTGGTGATGACGATCAATGTCAACAAACAAGATCAAAACTGAGTATAGCTTGACGAACCACCTCCCAATCCCAGAAAACACCTCCCTATATAACAACTGCCGACATGAAGAACTGTTGATCCTTCTCTTGACTCGTCTTCCCCATGGGGGAGTGGTCCAATCCGGGGTACATGACAAAACCCGAACATTTCCCCATGCGGTTAACTCGGGTTCGGCTCACTTGCCAAGACCGAACAGATAAGCCAGGATCACCAGGTTTTTCCGGAAAACCCCAAGCCAAGTATCCCTGCTCGGGCCGACGTGGTTCGACACGCAATCCATCCTCATTCCTCACCTCACATTCGGCAGAAATGACCGGAAGACCTCGTCAAGTATGCGACAACTGTCGGTTCCGCAAGGTCAAGTGCGACCGCGGCATGCCATGCAAGAACTGCAGCCTCGGTGATTTGCGCTGTCAGTATCAGCATCATATTCGGCGGAGGGGGCCGAAGGAAGGCCAAGGTCGGCGACAGGCCCAACTTAGACAGGGGCTGGCTTTTGAGCAGAGTCCCTTTCGGATTGTTTCTCCGGAATCTCTCGGAGCTGCGACAAGTGACGATGGACAACAGGCTGAGCAGTCACCGCTGTCGACACTATCGCAGAGTCCCGAAGCTGTGGTGCAGCTTGAGGTGAGCGGTAAGGGAGCTTGCTTCTTGGATGGTCCGTTATCGAACTCTTTGACATCAAGTCGACAGTTCTCTCTGTCGCTTGTTGCTCACATACAGCTGTTTCTCAAACTCATGTTTCCAATCATGCCCGTCATTGATGGAGACGAACTCCTCTCAGATGCGACTCGACTAGACCAATTGCCACCACCACGATATGCATTGGTCCTCGCTGTTTGCGCCGCAACACGAATGCAATTAGGTATTGGCAAGGCGAAAGATGGCTACGGAAGAGGACTAGAGGAGAATATCCCACCGGAGCCACACCTTACTGGAGAATCTCTACTCGCAATCGCTGAGAATGCGCTCCGACAAGTCAGTGTTATCGACGATACCAGCCTCGACTCCATTTTGGCTTCATTCTTTTTATTTGCGTGCTACGAAAACCACTATAGTATTCGACATGCTTGGTTCTATCTCAACCAGAGCATCACCCTCGCTCAATCACTTGATCTCACCCGCGAAGCCGGTTATCAAGACTTATCTCTGGCGGATCGGGAGAAGAGGCGACGGCTATTCTGGCTTCTATTTGTGACAGAAAGGTATGCCTCCATATCCACATTTCAAGCACCTCGTTGACGATGGATACTCAGGACATTCGCCCTCCAACATCGGAGATCAGTCATGCTACGAGGCTCCATCACAAAACCTCAAGTGATTAACTCGGAATGTCCCGTAGTGATGCACGACTTCCTCAACCACATCCGCCTCTTTGAATCACTGCCTTGGTCTCTCTATGAATGGCACCCAGATAATGACGATCACCAACCAAAAGATTTACAACTTGTACCCAGTATTAACAACAAGCTCTGTACAGTCCAGCCGAACCAATCGGTGATTGAGAGTCAGCGGTTCGATACGCTCATCACACAGCAATGGCTTCGAATATCCATGTGGCGTCTGGCCTTTGGTAACAAACCTTCTTTATCCTGCAAGTTTGGACTCTTGCTGCCCGTTGGTTTGCCGTTTGATGCCGGAAAGATCATATTACCGGCCCTGCGTTCCGTTGGGGTCAAGTCAAAGAACTGCCATGGGGTTGGAATAGTGAGCCTCACCAACAAGGCTGTCCTTTAGTTATGGACATGTAGCTGATTTTCAAAATAGGAGCAAAAACTATACGACGTGGGTATCAGTTTGGCAGACAGCGCCCGGTTTCCCGGCTGGAGCAATTCCTCCTTCGAAGTAGGCCCTCGAGATTTATTAAGCGCCGTTGTAGACGCACTCACCACAGTCCGAGGGCAGGAGTCTTATTTCCTTCCCAAGCTGCTAAAACACTCTGAAGGACTCTTGGCAACCCCAGATCCATCCGCTGGCATTGACGTGCAGTTTACGCAACCGCAAACCCAGGAAGAAAACACGGCTACAGAGGAGGTAGTTGTGCAGGCAGACGAGTCAGTAGATCCCTTGAGTTGGATATCGAGCGATGACTTTGGCCTGTTGGATATGAGCACACCCACGGCAACATCGACGTGGGAAGATCCGGTGCTGCTTGGTGAAATGTTGGACCCGAATACCGGTTTATCTTTTGGATAATCTGAACTGCCTTGAACTGAATAGGGAAATTGTGTATCCAGTCTGTATGCATTCTATACCAAAGTCATCTCTAGCGTCTCCGGTTGGTCCAGAAACGATAGCCTACCCGTTCCGGTCAGTTGTATGAACCTCCCCATCCCGCCAATACCCACTGTATCAATAACCGATCTACATATATACCCAATAGCCTTCCATCTATACCCTCTCTATCAAAACCACCTTGCTCTCATAGTCAGACTTGAACCGATATTGAACGCCACCATTCATCAGAGTCGCTCCAGAGAACGTTCCCTCTCCATCAAGCTTATACTTTGCAGAAGGATCGAGCCCCTGCAAGCGAATGAAGGAGTAGTTATGCACTGTCGCGGCCCGAATCTGGAACGCAAACAGCACAGCTTGACTTCCATCCTCGGAGATGAAGAGTGCAGCAGGATGGTTGGAGGTCTCTGGGAGGTTCAATCTCCACATGTCTCCTCGGATGATGATGGGGTTGATCTTTTCGGCAAGGGCAATAAGTTCTGGAATCTGAGCCTTCTCTTCTGCAGGTATGGCATCAGGATCGAGCTCTAGACCGAATGATCCTCCCATCATGGCGACGTGAGCTCTGAATCGGATCGGAGTTGTGCGTCCTGTAACTTCGTTGGGTACAGCGGAAACATGTGCCCCCATTGTCGATGCTGGGTAGACCAAGGATGTGCCAAACTGTATTTGAATCCGGTCAAGACCATCCGTGTTATCAGACGTCCAGACCTGGGGGAAGTATTGCAAGATACCAGCGTCGAATCTGCCGCCACCAGCTGCGCAGCCTTCCCAGAGGACCTCGGGGAATCTAGAAGTCAACCTGTCAAAGACACGATACATGCCGAGAATATAGGCATGGTAATTGGCAGGTGTCGGAGTCTCGTGCATGGCCCGGTTGTTATCCCACTTGACGTAGCTAATGGGGACATTGTCAAGAATGTTGGCGACAGAGTTGATGATGTATTCCTGTACTTCAGAAAGAGCCACGTTCAACACGAGCTGGCTGCGGGTCTCGGTTCGAGGGTAGTTGCCGGCATGCAGCGCCCAGTCAGGGTGTTGTTCGTAAAGAGCCGACTTTTGACTGATCATCTCAGGTTCAAACCAGAGGCCAAACTTGAGATTCTCTTTGGAGCCCGCAGCTTGGAGCTGGCTGACCTTGTCGGCAAGCGGCTTGAGACCATCAGGAAATCTCTCGGGGTTCACGGTCCAGTCTCCCAGGCCTGCCTTGTCATCAACTCGAGGATACTTGTCTCCGAACCAACCATCATCCAGCACGAACAGCTTCACGCCCAAATCTGCAGATGCTTGTGCAAGTCGATAGATGGTGTCCTCGTTGAAGTTAAAGTAGAGTCCCTCCCAACTGTTGAGAAGCGCCGGTCGAGGCTCGTTGACGAACTTGCTCTTGATGAGGTGCTGACGATAGAGGCGATGGAACTTGCGTGACATGGCACCGATTCCCGCATTTGAGAAGACAGAGACACACTCTGGGGATTGCAGCGAGTCCCCTGGCTTGAGGGGCCATGAAAGCTGGGAGGGATTCATGCCGACAAGGGCGCGCGTTATGCCTTGAGGGCTCTTCTCAACCTCGACTTCAAAAGAGCCGGTGTAGATGAGAGAGAATCCCCAAGCCTCGCCGTGTGACTCTGTGGTTTCTGACGAAACGAGGGAAAGGAACGGGTTGTTGAAGTGCGATGAGTATCCTGTCCTGCTTCCAAAGCTTCACACACGTTAGTAGGCAGGATGCACATCGGAACAGTACTTGACATACCCTTGTAGACCATAATCCACCTTTCGGCGAGTTCTCGTGCACTCTCGTGTCCACTCACCCCTGAGCTGAAGCATTTCATATTCACGATGAGGTAGGTCAACACTAATGCTTGCCAGCTTCTCAATGGTGACCTCCTCATCGCTTTGGTTTGTGATCTTGACACTTCGCACAATGGCGTCATGCTTGGGAAATATCGAGTAGGACAAATCCGCAGCGACTGAACTGCAGCTGTCCCAGAGGTGGATCACCAGTGTTGACACCTCGTCATCGTGACCAAACGTGCAGGGCAGGCCATCTAGAGCAGGTTTACCCTTTACAACACTGTGAGACTTGTACTTGAAGTCAGATACTGTGTAGCCCTTGGCCTGTTTGATCTGGATAGCCGGGGCTCGGAAGTCTCCTCGGCCGAGATCGGGAAACTCGCGTCTAAGATGATCTTGGAGTGACCATCCCCCGATAACGGCGGCAGGTTCGGCCACGGGATCTTCTGTCACCCGGTCACCGAAGTGGTCCTGGACGAGATCTCCCGAAGTGCTATCAACGTGGAACCGGTACGAGACGTTGGTTCCGTTGAGCGCGAACGAAAGTCCATTCACCACGATAGCTACAAGAGTCAGTTGATAAGCTTCCCGTAAAAGGTGCCACTCACGATCAGTCTTCTGATTCTCGGGAACTGGATGGATAATGGATCGTGTCATGATGGGCCGAAAAATAAAGACAGGGGTACCTTCAAGTCAATGTCACCTTGGCAAAGGAACGATAAGAGGCCGAGATACAGCTTGAAGCCAGTGAGGTGAGGCTTAAATAAGTACCCTGTCCCCCGTATATCTTTCGGGTTTAGCCAGAATGGCAAACCGAGCCGCATACCGAATATTTCCCCATGGGGTTAAATGGTCGGTCGACGTCGAGAGCGGGGAACCATGTACGGTTGGGGCTGCAGAATCGCGCGGTCGATCTCATAGGCTGGAGGATTTGTGTCTGATAATCTTTGGCGCGTTGGATGACACGAGATGGGTGCTTCCAACTCTGATTGATCGATTGATTGGGGAGTGTGGTGGAGATTGGCTCACTAGTTTTGGCCTCAGCAGTTTGCCGGCCCGACATCAGCAGCCCAGTTGACCTTGATGCTTGGAGGAGGAAATGAAACGTCGAGTGCTTGATACATGGTCAGAAGCTGGACTAGTAGATGATGAGGAGCTGAACGCGCCCTGCACCTTCGCTCCCTCGGCGCGTTATAGGAGGGCTTCATAGCACCATGGCAATGCTGGTCAAAGCAATGACGCGCTCATTTACTCTGTAGAGATGTGTAGGCTCGTACAGCTTCCAAGTGGTTTGAAATGTTTCTCGGCACACTCTGGCTGAGTGGTGCCTGATAGACCAATGATAGTATCCAGGCATAACTTACAGGTAGTAAGTCCAATTTCTTAACAATGAGCTAACAGTATGTGCACGTGCCCCTGGCTAAGCGAGGAACCGTTGCAGCTCCAGGGTATCTAAGGCAGTGCACGTCGTGTGAAGCACGACGATGTCATCAAATTGCCATGTATTGGATATGAATATGGAACTAGAGCACAGGCCAAGACAGAAGGGGTTTTCATTTCTTAGTAAGGGCTGAGATATTTGCTAGAGGCGATATGGAACAGCTGTCCAGTCAGGTAGTGGATCCTTCGATACCTGTGAGGAAACAGCCCGTGAGATACACACCTAACAACAACAAAACAGGACTTGCCTGCACACGTGGGAAGATCAGTACTGACTAAGATAATTAGAATAAAAATAGAGACCATAACACGCAGTCGTTCACTAGCAAAAAGAAACCCCCATGACACCGACCTTTTGGTGCTCGAGTGCTGTTGAGAGCAAAAAGTGTGGTTCCGCCCGGGATCGAACCGGGGACCTTCTCGGTGTTAACGAGATGCCATAACCAACTAGACCACGGAACCGAGGTTGCTGATTGGACAGAAGAGGAGGTCTGCAATTTGCCTCAAGCGGTGCACTGTGACTCTGTGAGAGACGGGACAAACCTCAACTCGAGGCTCCACAAGACCACATTCTTCTCTGCGGCGGGCGGGTAAAAATTGGTTGATTCATGTTAAATTGTCTATCACATGCTCTCCTTATCGAAGCTGAACGATACCCACTATACTCAGTACCGTCGTCCCGCCTTTTGCTCTTGGAACTTATCCCCTATACCCCCCACGATCCACCAGTTCCATCTGGGAGCCGCCCACCGTCTCCATCCCGTTCCCCGATTGACTCGCCACGCTGACTTGTCTTCTCATCAGGAGGACGGCGATGCTGCTGGTCAAGAGAACACCTCCAAAGAATGATCCTAGAGCGATGCCAGCGATAGCCCCACCGCCCAGACCCTTGCCACTCGATGGCTTGGTTGTGTCTGTTGCGGCTCTCGTGCTTCCGGAGGCGGTTTCAGAAGTGGCTTGCGAGGAATTTACAGACGCAATTCCCGGTGCCGTGCTGGGTGGGAAGGAGGGGTCTGTTGTACCAGCGGCGTTGAGCTCTGTGGTGGATGAAATCGACTCTGTGGATGGTTCAGCAGTAGCTGCCACTCAGGAGTGTTAGCATATGCTGTCAAGGTGCACGGGAGCAAGATAGAGGGTGCATGCGTACGCTCTGGCATGGTCCTGTAAAACTCTCTGATATTTCGCGGGGGCCGAAGGTTCTCCTCGCAGTCAATCCAATACTGAGGTCCTGATCCGGAGCCGTCGTCGTAAGAGTCGTACACCGTCACAGTGATGCAAGAGTACTTTCCACTGGTTTGATACATCAGTATGTGCGAGCGATGACAGACTACTGAGAGAGGGAGCAATACCAATACCGGGAGCTACTGCCAGCTAGCGTCCTTCCATCCATGTTCGCCCAGAAGACAGCATTGCCCGAGCAGGTTGTTCCGATGGGTGGTGAATCGCCAGGGATAGCACTTCTGCCTGAGCAATGGGCATATGTGCTCCTACGCCCGGGGACGCTCGTGTCTCCTAGCCAGAGATCGGTGTTTTGGCATCGATACTCACTAACTGTAACTCTTTGTTAGCAATGCCTGCGGATGTGGAATGTGATGGTTGGGGGAGACGTACTTTCGCCGTCTTCGATGAAGTATCCGATGAGATTGTCCCCATCGTCTCTCTTGTAACGTGCTTCCCGTCTCGGATTGAGGGGGGCGTTCTTGTGGTGCCGGAGATGGTCTTGTCGAAGGGCTGCCAGGCTTGGTCCTGCAGTGGTGAGGTGTGTCTCTACTGTCGATGCCAATGATTGAGACACAAGAATCAAGACTGGAACTATGATGTAAGAACCGTACATGTCGAAAAAGATTAAAGGATAGCCTGGCCCGCAAGGTATGGAACAGAATGGAGGGGGGGGGAAAGAGAGAGAGCGAGGATCTGAGAAGAGCGAACATCAGAGATTTAATCGTCTGCCTTTTTGAACTGAGTTGCGGCGCTTAGTAGCGCGCCTTGAAAGTGCAAGCTGAAAAAAATGATGCATGTTTGGGCCGTGCTTGTACACGGAGGCGCTGCTTTTGCCGGAGCCTGATTTGAACCTTTCGGCTGAGTTGTTGTGTTGAGACCATTCTAATAACGATTTCGCACAGGAACATATGCGAGTGGTCCTTTATTAAGTACTGAGCCAATGGAACCCTAGAGAAATGTCATATATATGCAAAAGAGTTACAACGAGTTGGAAACTTTCCCCTTGAACAAACCCTGCTCGGTCCGATCCCGAGGATGTGGATCGGGGATATCAGGCTGCGAGGGGTTCATCTGGCGCTCCATTCGAACCTGCTAGCTAAGCGCCTGGGCGTCCTGGGCTGGGTCTAAGCTAACGCCGGCAATTGGATGTACCAGCAGCTGTCTCTTCCTCGGATGCAGGGCTCTTTCAGAGAAGCCAATCAGCTATGCATCAGACACGGAATCTCTTTCTCTTTGCGCCACTTCAAAGGTGAGACATTCCAGATGACGATGCAATCATGGGCTAAGGTGATCTTCTTCTGGACTTATTGGGTGCTTCACTCCCGCTTTTAGACAAGATAGAAAATGACTGCCCCGCAAGAACGTTAGATCTCTCTCCCCACCGACCTTGGACAACTTGAAGCTACTCATAGGAGCCTATTGCAGAGGAGGTGAAAGTGTGGGTTACCTATAGCCTGTAATGATACCCTTCACCGAGTATAGTAGGTGCCGTTTACACTAGGCTATCAGTTCATAATAGCTAGGTAGGTGAAGCAAGAATACAGTTACAAAAGGATAAAATTTTAAAGAGAACTAGATCAAGTACTGGTGTTAAAAAGAGAGACAAACTCGAGGTTCTCTCAACGAGATAAAATGTATACCTTATTCCATAAAGTAAACCAGGAAAAGAAAACTGTCATGAGCCCTTCCATTCCCGGAGAATCTGGGCAATGATTCTATGGCCTTCCTCCTCAGCAAGTTCGGCCGCTTCATGGCAACGTTCCTCCAACAAGCGTGGTTCATCGTCACGTTCTAGGAGTAGATGTACCGTGCCAAGTCTCCCGTTCTCTGCAGCGCCCTGAAGAGCGGTGCGGCCGTGAGTCTTTGCCCCCTGAAGCTTTAATATGTGCTCCGTTCTCGATCAGTAACATAGCTATGTTCACGCCACAAAGGACACTGGAGTACCTTGTTGCGAATATACTCAAGCTGATGGCGTTGAATCACGTATAGAGTCCTTCTACCTTCACAATCCACTAGCGGGGGGCTGTGACATGGGTAACTTGTGAACTTGTCAGCATCAAAGTACCTGATTCAGTCAGCCGCCATGGTCTTTCAGGTTCTGTGAGTGTTTGTAATATTTGATTTACTCATTCAAGCCGTGAAGAGCCTCCTCCGATTTAATAGCTCTCTTTAACAGTGATTCAGGCTGGCCCAAGACCTTCAAGAACCACTGCTTTTGCGTTAGCAGCATTTCTACAAATTCCCCAACGACTCGTGCCCAACCATCCGAGAGCTACCTATCCTATATTTTCGTTCTCTGCAGTCTTTGCAAGTAGCTTCATTCAAATGCCTCCTAACGTTCTTTTCAGACACGAAATTCCCAAAGTACTCATTATTAATGAGCCAAATCTTGACTTGGCCCTCATACGGACTTATGGCACCGCGTTTATGAAGACGGTCGAGGAAGACAAATGGGTCATCTTGACTCCAAACATCACGCCCGAGGACCTGAAGAAGCACTTATTCAATGCCGGTATCTTGTTTCCTGAGTCAGCTCTTAAGCCGGAGGAGAGAAGCGTTCCCAACCCTGGTTTTATTGTCACGGATGAACAACCTGAGACACCCAAGGAATCATGAAACATGCAAGGGAGACTCGATCGGAAGCCGTGCTGTGACTGGCTAGCTTTGGCTTTGTATTCAGTTAAATGATGATTAATCAGTCCTCAACACTAGTTGCCTTTCTTCCAGCCAGATGCTGATGATGACTGTATCAGTATTCTGTTCTTGATGCTGGTGATGTTGTGATGTGATGGCGCATGAGCTTTCATTGGTGCTTAAACGAGACGCAAAGCAAACCACCAAAACCAAAGCCCGTGATCCCTGTGGAGTCTTCATTGCCCCGGTCGGTTGCCTAGTGCCAAGGCTCAGCCTCATTGGTCGTTTCTTTACCTCAGCACATCCTTCTAACTCCCCCTTTTGCTCTCCTGTATTGGCCTGGCCTTTATTTCTCCTCCTCCAACATCAAGAGAAATCATAACAACTTGGCCACGATGACGCCTCCACTTCAGAGACTCCCGCTTCACATCGTCGCCGAGATTCTTGGACAGTTGGATACAATCCAAGAGCTCGGTCCGCCAATTTTCAGTCATCGGATCTTCCATGATGCCGTCCAAGATAGTCTTCACGCCATCTCTCGCCGTATCCTCACTCGACAGGTCCCGGATGGTATACTCTCCTATTCCCTTATCCTTCTCGAAACAACGCAAATCGATGTGATGGACCAGAACGCCGTGGATCCACTCATAGCGCGTCTCGAGAAGATTGATCAATCGCCATCTCTTGTTCACTTGTCCTTGGCCGAATATGCCTTTATCAGTCAAAACCAAACTGCTGTGAAATGGATGAGTCAGGATATGGCTCATGAGCTCATCCCGGCTATCAATGAAGTAGGGTTTACTCATCCGGAAACACTGTCTGACAATGAGATTTTTCGCATGTACAGAGCTTTTCTTCGCTACCAGATTATGTGCAATTTGTTCTGCCATGGTCCCTGTCGTCAGAAGCTTGAAGTTACGGAACAAATCTCAGATTTCTGTCGTGCCTCTTCTCAGTGGGTCAACGACCAGTTACTGGCCGTCTACAGCTATTTGGAGAGGCGAGTCAGCTTCGGTAAGTAGAACACATAGGTATTCAACTCCGACTGGTCTAACGCGTCCATAGCATTTGATCATGTTGGTGCACATAATGTTGAGTGGGCCGGGGTACCCATCGAGTGGAACGAGTCCTTTGAGGATTGTAATCGTATTCAGCGACTGGTAAGTTGGAACCTCATGCACTATGCTCATCGCCATACCCGCAATTCAGGAGATCCCCTCTGATCCGTCATAGCTTTGTCGAGGGCTTCCCTTTCTGTGCGCTCTCGCACATTCCAAAACGTACCATGAAAGACTAAACGTGTTGAAACTAAAAATCGTTCGTTCAAATGCCAGTGTACCAGACCCTCCTTGCAATCTCATCTCAATACTCCTATGGTGCCCGAGACAAGCAGGCGACGTGGCAGGAAACACGTGGACTGTGATACGAAGAGGTCCACCAGTGTCAAGTTACACGGCAAAAGAACTCGAAGAAGAAGCTTGTGTGTCTGATGGGCCACAAGACTCAACTGATTCATGTTCTTTTCGGATGTGGCTCGCCCATCACTCTAAGCGGGCCTACACTGTGTTTCTAGACAGGAAGCTGTCGATTTTTGCATACACCATGTGGGACAATGCTGATCTTACGGTGGAACAATTGGGGGAAATATGCACGAATATCGCTGGGTGCAAGGACTACTTCAAGAGATACGCCCGCTACTGGGATGGAAAAGACCTTCGTCTGGCGCAGAAGCGCAAGAAGAATATCTACAATGCCGGGGGTCGGGGATACTGACCCAAAGATGGTGTTGATGACTTTAGCGGCATCACCAACATTAGAGATCGGAGGCGAGAGCAGTTGATCCAGAAGTGGAACAAGGCCACTCAAAACGGCGAGGACGAAGATCCACTTGATTATTCCACCCGGATTTGGTGTAGGAAAAAGTTGATGTGGCCACAAGGTCCACGTCGTTGAGTCCCGGTCATTCGGTATCCTGAGAAGCTGGTGTTTTTCGATACTATCTCCACCTGTGCCTTCTATTCAGTCGTCTAGCTTCCCATCTGCTGCATATCGCTTATCCCTGTGTCTCTCAACTACAGAGCCCCAACGCTAGTTGCTTCCACCTCTCGTCATCTTGCCAAGAGGTTGTAGCCGAAGTTTTACTCCTCTTTGAACATGGCACTACTGGCATGGCCAAGGGCGCGGTATTGGACCACAATTCGTAGCCCCAGCCAAGCCTCTGAGTTGCTCCCGTGTTGCCTTTTCCGCTGCCTCGGTGTCACACTCAGCCTGATACTCCAGGTAATCCTTAACTAGCTGCTTGCGTAGAGTATGAGGACAATTCTCGTCAAACATTTTCAAGTCATGAAGTGGAACCCAGCCTACAGAGCACCCTCTTGGAAAGTTGACCTTGTCGAAGAAGAGGACGGGATACATGCGTTTGTGGGCCCGCAACCCATGGTTCTCATAACCCTCTGCCCACGGTCGGGGTCTCGTATCGGTCTTCTGGGCCTGAGCGTAGCAGCCGGGGATCTCCTCATCAAGACCTGTGTGTTGGAGGGTGTGGACAAATTCGAAACGCTCAAAACGCCCCCAGGGAACAATCATGACGGGGTAGAAGCCCCTAGGCTTTTGCCAACAGGCAAAAATGTCGCCCGGCTGTGGGTTAAGAACTTCTGTCTTGAGCTCGCTGTAGCTCTTGGGCGCTTCCCACTGGTAAGGCTTCGTCTTGGCCTTTTTCTTGGGCCTGCCGCGAGAGGGGGCTCTTGTGAGTTGAGAGGTAGTATGAGGGCCAGCCGAGTTGACAACTCCCAGCAGGCTTTTGTTGGCGTTATTGTTGCTCCGGGCTAGCTCCGCGGTGCAGTGTAACACGCGAGTGCCGAACCTCTGGATGGTGACTTCAAGCGATGCGGAAGCGTAGGCAGTGTGATTGACGCTGAGATGTAGCTGGGCTTCACTGAGGGGAAAGTCGGCCGCGAAGATCTTGTCACAGTCCTTGCATTCCAAAATATACCACTGTCCTGTATCGTAAGGGAACTGTACGATTTTGTACTTGACTGCACCCGTGCCGTTTTGGAAGACGTCGCGGAACTCGATGGACCGGCCGGGTGTCAAGGAGAGAGGCTGTTCCTCGAGTCGGGCCCGCTTTGGGTGAGGAATCGGCACCGCGGACGTATTTGGGGGTCTCTTGTGTGTGGGTGCGTGGCTTGGCTGTTGGGAACATGGCCGGGGGGGTGATCGGTAGATGGCAGGTTCTCGCCCATGAGTCTGGATTCTCCGAGTGTTTAGTTCGAGGGTCGGTGCAGAATGGCTGTCGTTGCTAAGCACTGTGATTCTATGTTGAGCCTGGCTCGTATCACGATCGGCGCCGCGGGCGTTGGGGTTCAATGAGGAGGCTTCGCTTGTTGGTGTCTCGACCTGGATACCAACAATCGCGGTTGGTAGCGTGGACGCGCGAGGGGTCGGCAGAGGGGAGATATCATGCAAGGCCTTGAGTAGCTGCTCAATGGCAGCTTGGAGTTCCTTCGCGTAAGCTTCTTTCTCCTCCTCGATCTCCTGTTCCAGCCTCGCTTGCTCGAGAATCAGCAACTTGATCGGCTTCGCGTTGACGTTGCCTTGGGTGTCAGCACGTGTAAACTTGAGCTGGTTCGTGATCAAATCTTCCAGGTGCTCAAGACGCGATTGTCTCGCGTCGGTTTCTCGTGGCTGTGCTCGGTTGGTGACGACCATCCATCGTTCGTAATGCTGTCGTATCTTGTCGGCCACAGCAAGAGGGTCGTCCATGGTGGCGGGCTAGTTGGGAGACACGAAAGAACTGGCGTCACCGACCTCTCAAACACGGCAAAATAAAGCCTTAGTAGGGCATTAAAAAACTCGATCAGTTAGTCAAAGGAAACGCCAACTGGAGAGAAAAACAAAAGGCGGGGGACACAGAGACTGCTGTTTGATGCACGTTTGTTGTGTAACCCCAGCCATCACCAAGCCTTGCCGCCTCTCTTACCCAATCAATTTTCAAGGAGACCAGGATTATTTTTGTGTCCGTGGTTGCGCCAATCAACATGTCACTGGCTAGCAAGCAGATCAGCTCTTTGATTGTGGCTTGGGGCGCAGCCTGGTCTGGGGATGGCGAACTGCTCCCGTGAACTTGGGAAGTTGTCTCTTTTCTCTTTCCACCTTCCTTGCAGCTCGTTCGCTGAAAAGCGTATAACGGTGTGATTGGTTGTCGCGTTGGAGCTGAAAAAGCAGGCTGGCAAAGTGCAGTTTCTTGCAACTCGCCGCTCCGACACAAGGAACGCCACCTCTGGGTAGGAACCGCCGCAGGCATTGACTCACAGGGGATTGAGGTCTGCAAAGGCCTCCCCAGTTAACTCACGTCAATTCAAGGGCGGGACCAAGAAATAGAGAATGACTCGAGGACAGTCCAAACATAGTTGCCCATTTCTTATTCGGTCGAAAAAAATGGCTATTTGGTGCAAAGTCTTGAAGTACAATCCAGGGCCCGACCCAAGCCAACGGGCGGTAAGATCTACAGGATACCGTCCAGTAAAGTTCATAAATAGTCACTGATGGTATCATCAGTGCCGCAGAATCTAGCCAGCAAAGATATTGGATCATGCAATAACACGTTGGCCAAGCCATGGCCAAGCCAACATTAGTTGAGTCTCGGACGAAGCAGATGTATTCTCAACTGTCACAGATCCAGAGGACCGAAGATATCCTGAGGATAAAAGAACTTCATGCAGCTTTAGCTGAGGCAATGATATGAGACACTACTTCGATTCCATCTGGATCTAATTCATCCATGCTAATAGCTGGTCATGTCCACACCATCGCAGACGAAAGAGTTTCCTCGTATTTGCAACCGCTTTATACATTAGAACTGGGCATAACACAACTGTTATGGTATCTCAGCATTTCGGTAGAAACAGACATCAATGCATCCAGAGATCATTGTGAAACTCGCCATGGAGACCGCATGGTCCTTATCAATCAGGCGAGTTTTCCCCATCAGCCCTGCAACCAGTTCCAGAACGCTGACAGACGACCCCACACAAAATGACTAAACAGGCATGGAGCTTACCAACACATTATCAACGGTTGACTTGTTAACTATCTCAAATACTTGCATCAGAATGATGCTTCTCAGTGATGACCTTGAGTTGAGCAATAGCTTACATCCTGGTCAATTCATTCGACCTGCATTAGATGCGCGAGTCGATCCTATCCTGTTGCCAAGAGTGATGGAACGACTGGAGCACCTGCATTAGCTGCGGTTACATTCTTGACCTGTGGCTTGGCTTAGAAAGCTTGACTTGACATCTGTAATAGAGAATTATTGCGTATAAATTATCAGGAACAGCCGACCATGGTAGACCTTTTCTGCTCTCCATCAATCATCTCTCGTGCAATCTTCCTCTTGCCTCCCCGAGTCGTCATCATGTTCTCACTCCTCTTCACCACCCTCGCCCTGCCAGCCCTGGCGCTTTCCAAGTCCTTGCCTGCAAAGACTCTCGGCCAGCTGCCGCTTGGAACATGGCTCGAGAACATCGCCGTGCGCCCCAATGGGGACCTTCTGGCAACTCAGATGTGGCCCTCTGCCAAGATCTACACCATTCGGGACCCTTCTGACTGCGAAAACTCCCTCGAGGAGCTCGTATCCATTCCTGCCATTCAGAGCATCTACGGCATCACTGAGGTTCCGTCTTATCGCTCAAGGACTGAGAAGTTTATCTTTGTCGGTAGCAACTCTACCGGTCTCGGTGTTCCCATCACTGGTACTTTCAGTGCCTGGTCAATTGAGTTCCAGACTTCCCATTACGGCTCCAAGGTCAAGGCCAAGAAGATCAGCGACATGGACAAGAAGAGTGGATTTCTCAACGGTGTCGCGGCCATTCCCCACAGGTCCGATGCTGTTCTTGTGGCTGATTCTGCCAATGGCTTGGTCGGCCGCCTCGACTTGGCCTCGGGCAAATTTGATACCTCGGCTTTTGTCTTCCCGCAGATGTCCCCTATCAAAGGCGTTGGCCTCCCAATTGGAGTCAACGGTATCCAGATTCACGATGGATACCTCTACTTTGACAACTCGTACGAGGTCGCCATTTACCGTATCCCCATCACCCCTGCAGGCTATCCTGTAAAGGGTGCCAAGCCCGAGCTTTTCGTCAACCTGTCCACTGGCCTGACCTTCCTCGACGACTTTGCGTTGGATACAAAGGGAAACCTTTACGGCGCCAGCAACTTTGATAACTCGGTTGTTTTTGTGAACGGCACTACCCGGAAGTGGAAGATCGTGTCTGGAGGAGTCGGCGAGATGACCGTTGCAGGGTCCACGGCAGTGGCGTTTGGGCGTGGAAGACAGGACAGGGATGTGCTTTATGTCTCTACCGGCGGTGCTCTTGCAAAGCCTGTGAATGACACCAAGACGGAGGGTGCCAAGGTGGTTGCCATTGATACTCACCCTTAGAACAAGACATTAATAGAATGAGATGAGATAGGAAGAAGAAATGAGAGCAAAATCTCACAATGCTGTCTCATTCATAAATATTTATTCACTCCGGCACCGATAACCCGTCAATCCCTGTTCCTCGCATAAGCCAGTAAGCCACATGCGTAATGCGCTACCACGAATTAGCGAGGTGCATAATGTAACCATTCACGGCCTCAACTCCAATAACAGTCAACAGTCCCATTAGTGACTCCACAAACTCATCTTGGCTATGAAGATAGCGGTGCGAGAGGGAAGCGAGAGGGAGGCATCGGATGAGGGTGGAAACGCCCCTCACAGGAACCCCTCTTCTGCAAACTCTCTGCGCCATTTCCGTCGAACCAACGTCTCTTCTGCGACTCTGTTCTTGACGTATCGTCTTACTTGTTACAATGTCTGACCCGCCTGCTCCCGTTGCATCGTCCCCTACGTCGCCGTCCGCCGCTGCGGGTCGGTCCGAGCCTGGCCCCGCTGTTCAGGCCCAACAGGAGCTTGTTCCTGGGCCTGATCCTCAGGTAGCCTCTTGACAACTGTGTCCATCCTATGTCATGATATTGACGATTATATTTTAGGATGAAGACGATGGCGACTCTGCTCTTGGTGATGATGCGTAAGAGTGAACTGAGACTTCCGCGAAACTCGCTGACAAGAGGTAGAGAGAGCTCTACTGCCTCCATCACCAGCAGCATCCTCGAATATCGCAAGTTTCAAGGACGGACCTACCACAGTGATAGACATCCCACCGAGTATTTTACGCCCAATGACGAGCAGCAATCCGAATCTATCGATATTAAGTGAGTTAAATCTGGCTCATCATGGGTCAGCTGATGACGAACCTTGGCAGTCACCAATCTCTGACATTGCTGCTCGAGGGCAAGCTATTCCTTGCTCCCATCAAGCCTGATGTTCAGGTAAGTCTTCACTAACGTAGTGAGGATATAACTTCTCACGGGCCATGATAGAAAGTGCTTGATGTGGGCACTGGAACCGGTACAACCTCTTCTCGGCTGAATTGCGAGCAAGGCTAACCTTTGTGTTAGGTATTTGGGCTATGTAAGAGTCTCATCCCACAAGAGTAACCTGGCCAGTCAACTCACATTACACAGCGACTTTGCAGACGAGTACCCCAACGCCGAAGTGATTGGTTCCGACCTCTCGCCTATTCAGCCCACTTGGATCCCACCCAACGTCAAGTTTGAGATCGACGACGCGACCCTTACATGGACCTGGGCTGATAACACTTTCGATTTCATTCATATTCGTTATCTATTTGGAGCTATTCGTGACTGGACTGGCCTCTTCAAGGAGGCATACCGCTGTTGCGCACCGGGTGGTTGGATCCAGACCGCCGAAGCCGATGTTGAAATTCTTAGTGACGACGGAACGACTGAGCTGGCGCCCGTCTTGAAGACTTGGGCAAAGCTCTACGCCGAAGGAGGAAAGAAGCTAGGAAATGCATTCTATGTCCAAAAGGAAGACCTCCAAGAGAAGGGCCTGGAGGCAGCTGGTTTCACCGAAATGACGAGTGTGGACTACAAGGTGCGATTCCCATCTTTGCTCCGTATTCACCACTGATGGTTATCTAACCGTCATGGCAGTTCCCCGTTGGTGGCTGGGCCAAGGATCCCCGCATGGCCGAGATTGGCAACTTTGTCAAGGCCACTCTTGAGAATGACCTTGAAGGTGAGTTGGCCCCTGACCTATTTGACTGCATATGCGAATAACTGTTAGGCTACACGCTTCTCTTGTGGAACAATATCTTGCAATGGGGCGAGGATGAATATCAGGTTTTCCTCATGGAGATGCGCAAGTACCTGAGAAACCGCAAGGTTCACGGATACATGAGGGTTCGTTATGTTTATGCTCGCAAGCCTGAGGCTGAGTAGTTACTCTCACTTGCTACCGAGAGGTCTAGAAGTCAAGGGATATATGAGTTTGGCGAGGTACCCTTCCGGTGTGTGGGCTAGAGAGCTGGGTCTGGGCGGCGGCATTTTCAATCCGGTTTTACGGCCTTCAACAACAAGCTTTGAAGAATGAAACAAGATTCTCATCATATACCGTAGAGATGGCGCTTGTAGAGTGATCTTTAGTGCCACTTGAGAGTTCAATACGCGGAGAAAAATAGACCTCATCGCCCATCACCAAAATAGTCTTGACTCAGATGGCTTTCATCTCTGGACTTGGGTCAGTATAATCCTTGATCATTCTGCATTCAGCGAAGTCCCCGAGCCATGCACCAACAGATACTGCATGGTTCGTCCACTTAACCCAGGACTTACGATGACTTGCATGTAACAGTACGTATTCGAAGATTTAGTCTCCGCGGAAAAAATCAAAAGCATCACCCCTATTCGCCGCGAACATGTTCTAGAAAAGGCCCAACGAGTGGGTAAGGCCCGCAGTTCGGGCAACAATCCATGAAAATTGAAAAGTTTGCTTCGTTTCCTTGTCAAGAGAACTGATAGCCCTTCTCATGGGGTCCATCTCTGTTGTAACTCGACGCACGAGCCAGATTTAAGGGCCACCTTTACGTAGTATTTTCCAGATAAACGGGTCTCGACGATCTCCAAGCAATGAAATCAGTCGTTAGAAGCACGACATTTGATAGCAAAATGGTGAATCAATGGCGCAAACCGAAACTCAAGTGGCGTACGACCCCTCAACACAGGGTCGTCGCTGCATAGTAAACATGGATCTCCTCGGAGCATTGGCCTATCCGTCGGGGAGTTGCCTACTAGTTTCCTACATAGGCAAGTTTGATGTCGCCATCGGCCGCTGTGGGGTGGAATCCACTGAGAAGTGAAGCTGCTTCGTACGTGTTGGGGGTGACATTCGGGAATATCTCGCTGGGCCCCTGATGGACAGTTCAGTGATCGGTCCGTATTTAAATACTTGGGCCGTTCTACCAAGAGCTTGCTTGATCACTAGAAAGTCACAGTTTGCACTCGGCTGGTCGAGCAGTTCAACAATATCATTGACAGTATCGCTCTTTCGAGGATACCGACAGGATGACTGCCAAGCAGTCAGCCATCACACACTCGCCTGCCGGGTCAGATACACCATCCGAACATGGCAGTCTAGAGTCCCAGAAAAGGCCTACCGCCACCTATGGCGCCTTGGCCCCCACTGCCCCAGCCTTGGCCTCCCAAGAGAACCAACGCATGGAAGGCGCTCTTGGGGATGCCATTCTGCGCTTTCTGAGGATCCGGAAGGGTCCCAAGGGCGACGAGTACGATCCTGATTCGGTATTCACCAACCTTATCTAGACATCGATGCAGAATCGGAAGCTAACGAGATCAAGATTGCGACACAGCCGAGTATCTGGGATTCGGAGAACCTGGAGGAGTACAAGCAGCTGTACATTCATCCGCAATGGGAGAATTGGAGTGCTTTCGATCCCAACTTTCGGTGGACTTGGAAGGAAGAGAATGCCGTGCGACACAAGGTTGATTGGAAGATTATGGTAAGTGCTTTGGGATCTACAATGGTCATCTTGTTGACTCTCTAGGTCTGGGTTTGTGTCATGTTTTCGGCCTTGAACATTGATCGCAATAACATCTCCAACGCCGTCTCGGATAACATGCTTGACGATCTAGGCATCGATCGAGGTGATTACGTGAGTTGCATCGGCGGTGACGCAGGAGTTTTGTACTGACTGACTGATGATAGAACATCGGTCAAACCATCTCCCGAGTTGGTTTCCTTGTCGCTGAACTTCCATCTCAGCTCATCTCTAAGCGGTTAGCTACCTGGCAGTATTCATGATCATGACTTTGCTTACTCTGATTCCAGTATCGGCCCAGATCTGTGGATTCCCATTCAAATCTGTCTTTTCAGTCTCGTTTCTGCTATGCAGTTCTTCCTCAGCGGCCGGGCTTCATTCCTCGCAACTCGATATCTGATGTGAGTAGACCTGGCATCATCAATCAAGCATTGCTAACCATCTGTCCAGTGCCACATTCCAAGGAGGATTCATTCCGTAGGTCTCTGTTGCTTGACAAAAGAGACGTGTTACTCACAAGAAACAGGGACACGATTCTCTACTTGAGTTACTGGTATACCGGCAAACGAGTGAGTAACCATCAGTTACGAACCCCTCACCAGCTGTAACTGACGTCAATAGCTCCCAATCCGTCTGGCTTGGTTCTGGATGTCTTCCCAGCTTGGTAAGCCTAATCTTCTGCGGATAAAAGATCACATGCTCATCAACATACAGTCGACATCGGGGTTGGCTTCGCTGCCGTAGGTATGCTGTCGATGCGTGGCATTCTAGGATACGCTGGTTGGAGATGGCTGTTTCTTCTCGAAGGCGCTTTCACTTGTGAGTCAACATCCTGAGCCTGACTGACTACAAGATTCTGACATTCTAGTCTGCGTTGGCGTTGCTTCCTTCTTCCTCATGCCCCAGTGCCCGGCCAAGACCAAAAGTTGGTGGAATAAGAAGGGATACTTTACCGAAAAGGAAGAAAAGATTATTGTCAACTCAGGTCCGTTCCCCACAAGCCTTCAATGCTGGCTATTGCTGATATCATCAGTCATTCGAGATGACCCTCAAAAGGGTGGGATGTACAACCGACAAGGTCTCTCAGTCCGTCAAATCTGGGAATGCGCCAAGGACTACGACATGTGGCCACTCTACGCCCTTGGCCTGCTATTCGGCCTCCCCAAATATCCCGTTGACCAGTACTTGACTCTTGCCTTCCGAGGTCTTGGATTCTCTGTCATTCAGAGCAACCTCCTAAAGATCCCCAACATTGTCGGCTCCTGCATAACCATGCTTCTCATCACGGCCTTCAGTGAGCTTGTCAACAACAGAAGTTTCGTGGCCATGGCGGAGGATTTCTGGTTACTGCCTTGCTTCGTTGCGCTCATCGCTCTTCCCAACCCCATCAGTCCGTGGGCGTACTTTGCCATTGCAACTGTTCTCCTGTCATTCCCATAGTGAGTAAGAGACCCTAACAATAGGGCTCGTGCTAACCTGCTCCAGCACCCACCCCATTCAGGTTGCATGGACAAGCCGGAACGCAGGATCCGTCCAGAACAGAACGGTTTCCGCCTCGTAAGTAAATTCGCTTTCTTGCTTGCGTATCATACCTGCTAACTGAACTGTACCCAGCCTGTACAACATGTTTGTACAAGTAAGTGGCATGATTGGAGCAAATAGTGAGTGAGCCTCCCATCGGTCAAAAGGCCGAGTGCTAAGTTCACAGTTTATCAACCCGACGATGCCCCGCGATACTTCAAAGCAAACAAGGGACTCCTGGTCATTTGTATTTGGATGTGTGTAAGTATAACGTCACACTTGCTATGTTCCTCTCGCATTCACAGACGCTCACCCTTTGTGTAGCTCGCTCAATACCCGGGAACCTACTTTTACTACAGGTGGAGGAACAACCGGAAGGCAAAGAAGTGGGACGCTATGACTGCAGAAGAGCAGCACCATTACAGGACGACCACAACGGACGAGGGCAACAAGAGGTGAGTGCTTGCTGACCAATGGTTTTACTAAGACTTCCCTTGCTGATTTACTACCTAGACTCGACTTCCGTTTTGCAACTTAGAGGATCAGGTCGGGATCAAGGGTGGAAAAGTGGTATGGATGTGTCGCCGGTGGACAATCCACTATGGTAGATACTTTAGTCATTAAGTCACTGAAAGGGATGATATTGGAAAATCACTGGCAATGATTGATGAACCAACTCAATACTATTAGACGTCTTGAATCTATTTATTACCACTAGGAATCTCGGCAGATTCCTGACTGAGTCTTGGTGAAGCCGAAAGATGCTTGGTCCACTTGTGTCTACCGATACATCGTCTAGCCTTCCCCTATTATAGCCATTAAAGCATTCAACTCCCCGAACTTCTCTCCAGCATTAATCCCTAATGACCACTGCGCTTTTGCTAAAGAGTCTTTCGACCGCAACCTTGACCAAGAACCTCGCCGCACTGGCAACACTGACGCTGTCGGCCATCCCCATTCCAACACCATCGCTACCCAGCGTTTGCACGTCCTTCTTAGTGTCGGTCTTCTTCTTCGGATTATCAAACTCCAGCCTCACAGCCCTCACAAGAGTCCAGTCCATCTTTGTGGATCGAATTTCCTTGTCAACGAGACCGTGGTCCTCAAGGGCGTACTTGATGTTGGTCCATCCCATGAATGCCTTGGACAGCCACGGCAGGCTGGCCCACGAGTCCCCGACGCCCGCTGTCGACATGACCACAATGCGGTAGATGCCCGCATTTTCTAGAACCTCGCAGACATTGGCGCAAGAGTCAGCCAGGAATCGAGGAGGTGAAAGCTGGGGTGCAAAAGGGCTATCGGACTTTCGGACCGTGTTCAAAGTGACGATGGCAGCAGAAGTTGTGAAAGAAGGCGCTGCAGAGAGGGCTTTTTGTATGTCCGGCTTTGACAGCGGCGATCCAGTGACAACGGTGAGGCCAGGGCAGGGAGTGATGCTGCCAGCGGTACGAACGAGGGCTACCGCTGTATGGCCTTGAGAGAGTAACTCAGAGACAACGTGCTTGCCGGTGCGCCCAGTTGCGCCGAGGAGGAGAAAATGCATGGTGTTTGATGATGAGAGGTAGTGTTGAGTATCTTTGCCTGAGTTTGTAAGGAGGTGGAAGAACTGGGTAGCAAAAGGGCGAAAGGTTGCGGCGCTTATTTAACTGTGATGACGGATGAGAAAGCTACTGACAACAACGAAAGGATGAACAAATATCTTATAAGTTGCCCTGGGGGCGGCTCAATCGATCATGTTTTGAGGCTGAGACCCTAGATGATCCTTGATTGGTTCGTTCGGTCAGCATTCTGTAAATGGATGCCGGAAATGGGTCTCGGCCTCGAGAGCGAAAACCCCGGACCCGAGAAGCGAAGGCCGAACAA